GGCAATCTTATTCATTACTTCAAGTTTGCATTTCAAACATCTGCACAAGCACTGATTTATTGAGTCTAATGGAGGTAGTTAAAGTTGATTGAAGTTGAAATGGGTTGTTTTGGGGGTTTTCCCATTTTGAAGATTATTCACTTTGAACAAAATCACTTAGATCTGAGCCATAATATATCCAGTTATTTTTCCAAATATAGCCAGGTTGTTTGTGGTTTTGCTTGTCTTGAATTTGACAGATTGTTTTCTAGTTTTGTAGGTTGTCTTGAGTTCAGAGTATATGCATATTTGTGGTGTTAATGGGAGTATATTTGTTGATGCATAATTTTTTCTGTCCTTTGCTAACTGAGGAACTGTTTGCTACTTAAAAGTCAAGCCCTAAATATAAGAAATCTTATTAATATGACTGTACCCTAACAACAACCACTATTTGCCAGTTGTGAATTATCTCACAATCATTGTTAAGTACTTCATTGAATGTTTGGCAAGTAGGTGGACGCAGGCTTTACAAGACGTCTGAGCCACGCTTGATACTTGCGGTGTGTGTTATGTCACACTATTGTACACAAGTCAGTAAATGGTCTTAGTTGTTCACGCCAGATTGATCGGCAGACAGGAGTTGGGCAGGTTCTACCGCCTACAGCAGGTGTACTGTCGGGGACAAATCCCAGTATTACCTCACAGTGTACAGCTTTAGTCAGCCATGTAAGTCAGGGGTTTGGTGCCAGGGTATTAGATGATACTTGTGATGTGGAGGAACTCTTGTCACAAAGTTATTGCTTTGCATTAATTGACTTGTGACATTGGTGGAAACTTTCGTATATGTTTGAGGAGAAGAGTAAGTATGTTTCATTGAAGATGTTTGCAATGTTTCCAATGAACATGTTATTGTAGTTTTGTTTGACTTAACTGCAGGAAGAAAGAATTTATATTCGACTCATCTTTGTAATGCTAACTTATACCCTGGCATATTGAAAGTCTGTCTTCAAGACCCAAGAGAATGAATTAAAAAAGGAGTTAATACTGAGTCTAGAATGATTGGGCAAGTGTAGATTGTCAGCTTTGAAGTTGTGGGGTATTATATATTATAGTCTTTGTAGATATGCATATTTAGATAAGATTTCTATATTTCTTGGACAAAATGTCTGTCATATATATTATTATTGTATCTTCTGACCATAAGCATTATATGTATATCTTAAACAAACACTCAGTTTCTCAAACAAGTAAACAAGTGGCAAATATTTTCCCTGCAACTTTGACTTTGATGTAAGTGTATCAGATGTTCTTTACATGGTTTAGGTTCAGACGAAAAAGCATTACAGTGTCTGTGAATATCTGGTATGAATATTATATAGATAATATTTCAGTGTGATCTTCTTACTGAATATTTAAAGCTAAAGTTCCTAATCTCCCATAGATTGTAAGAAAAAAATATTTCCGGAAAAATCAATGACTTCTCTTAGCCTTTTTTTTTTCTTGAATGAATAGTCTTTAAATAAGTTGCCAGTCGTTCTATATGTAACTGGAGACATCTTTGGTCTGATCAATGCATGTCTGTAAGCAAGCTGAGTGAATGTAACGGCTCCACTCCTTTCTCCATAGTATTTTCAAGTACGTGTTGTGATGTGTCCAGACTTGCTCTCTAATCAGGGAGGTAAGGAACTCCGGAGTCGAGTGCAGGTTGGCTGTTCCGTTTGAGTAGGCATGACAGGAACCTGAGAGCACAGCTGACTACAGGATATTGGTGGTCCTAGAACGAAATCGGTTAGTTCTAATACGATAATGAGGAATGTAGCAGTTGTAAGATGGTTGTTTGTTTGTCATGGTACGATGTAGGACATGATTGTGACATGCTGTACTGCATGACAACCTGTGTATCAATTACCATCTATAGCCGAGGAATTAAGCTGGTTGATTGAAGTCCATATTCTTATTTAGTAATGTTTGTGGTAGCATATTTTTCAACAAATAGCAAGACCTTGTCAAAAGGGATTTGTAGATTGCCATTGTGTTGTGTATATTTGTAAAATAAGTACTTAATTATAATAGACAAAAAAGTACTGAAGCCAGTAGTCAGCTATTCTTACTGTTACTGATTTATCGCAGTGAAAAATACCCAATGCATTTCTATCACACTTTATACAAAATAAAAACATGTAAATTATGCATGTAGAAGGAATTCAACTTGTAATGAAGGCTGTCTGTGACTTGCAATGATTCAGACTTGTGAAGCCATAGTTTTTGTATCATTGTCAACTACGAGCACAAAAAGAAGTTTGTAAGTAACTTAGCTGAAATATGAAGTTTCCATCACCTAAAGTCAGCTTAACTCACAGTTGGTGAGTAAAGCAGTTAATTCATAAATGCTACATTTATGGGTACATAAATAGTTTGAATTGGTTGCCACAATATTGTGCTGTAAGTAAAGGGTTTGTGTCTCTCAAACTACCTAATTTCCTCTCATACTAATTGTTAAGATGTTTTAAGGGTGGTGGGGTAGCCCATTGGTTAAAGCATTCGCTCATCACACCGATGGCTCGGGTTCGATTCCCCACATGGGTACAATGTGTAAAGCCCATTTCTGGTGTCCCTGCGATGATATTCCTGGAATATTGCTGAAAGCTTCGTAAAAACATACTCACTCTGTCTAGATGCTTTCTGAAGTTAATGCAGCAAGCCTCCTTGTATAGGAATCTGTAGATCAACATGCCATGCTCCTATAATTACCCAAGTTGTTTTTGTGAATGGCAAAAAGTCTTTTCTTGCACTACTTTGTATAGAATATTGATATTGCAGTTACCATGTTTACGGTCTTGCTCCCTCTGTGTGCCCAGTGAATGCGTGCTGCAGAAAGTTCCCAGTATTGATTTATTTATAACCTGAGGTTGTAAAAGAATTCACTACAACTAGCCTGACAATAGCTTCACCTGTACAAAATGGGATTAGTTGTAGAAACTGATAGTGTGATATGGCTTTTCCATATCCAGGCTAAACAATAATATTCAGGTGAATGTGGAGTTATTTTTTCATTATTGTCTCTTAAATCTGTGATGTTATGAAACTAGGTGCTGATGCTGAAATGTTCATGCTGAGTTTGATAGCGTGAAGCCATACGTACAGTGCCGGAGAAGTTGTTAAGATTGATTTTGTGATTTTGTAACCGGTTGATCAAGCTGACGATCAGCCAATCAATGGCCCATTGTATTTCACACATGGACAAAAGACGAGCTTTGTGTTTTGCACACCTCACTGATGGTAGTAAATTTATCTCGGTTCCGTGTTGTGCATCAGATGGTGGAAGCATGTATCATGGTAGTGGTGGTAGAGAAAGGTTTTCCCTCAGGTCAGGGATTATCTTCCATTATAGTTTTAATCTGCATCTGCTGTCAAATAGATGGTGTTGCTTTTCTGATTATATCTTGTGAAATTGTATGCATCATTTCTTCTGATATCCATGAAGTTCACATAAAATAGTCAAGTATTTACACAATGTTAGATTATCTTGACCCCAGTGGGGGTCACCAGCGATATTTATATTGTCACAGATCAACAATGACCTGTACCTTTATAGATATGGAGTCCTGATCCCATAGCCCAGACCACCAGAGGTCCCAGTTTAACTATGGACCAGCCTGTTACTCCATTCTGTTGTGTTCTGTGCTGGAGTTGTCTGTTGCCCTCGCACCAGAAACAATCAGATTTCTGACCAGCTGATATGATCATACGATCACTCAACATGTGGGCTTCATGCATGCCATACTACAGAAGTACTACCCCCTGTCAATATCCCTCTCGATGTTTGCCCCTTCTGCTGTACTACAGAACACTGACCACTGTCAGTCCCTCAACACTCTCACTCTGTGTGCCACAACCTACAGAAGTACTACCCCGTCAATATCTCTCAACAGCCTTGTTCCATCCGTCATACTACAGAAGTACTGGCCCATCAGCATCCTTCATCCCTTTCGTTCCTTGTGACGTACTTGAGAATTCGAAGTACTGGCCCGTCAGCATTCCTCACCACGTTTGTTCCTTGTGGCGTATTTGAGAAGTACTGGCCCATCAGCATTCTTCATCCCTTTTGTTCCTTGTGCCGATCTACAGAAGCACTGGCCCGTCAGCATTCCTCACCACATTTGTTCCTTGTGCCGTACTTGAAAAGTACTGGCCAATCAGCATTCTTCATCCCTTTCGTTCCTTGTGCTGAACTACAGAAGCATTGGCCCGTCAGCATTCCTCACCACGTTTGTTCCTTGTGCCGTACTTGAGAAGTACTGGCCCATCAGCATTCCTCACCACGTTTGTTCCTTGTGCCGTACTTGAGAAGTACTGGCCCATCAGCATTCCTCACCACGTTTGTTCCTTGTGACGTACTTGAGAAGTACTGGCCCGTCAGCATTCCTCACCACGTTTGTTCCTTGTGCCATATTATACAAGCACTGGCCCTGTCAATGTCTTACTCAGATTCCAAGTTCATACCCAGGAAGTAATTGATAGTGCCCAGTAGTGTAATCAACTGGAAACTGAGACCCAAGGAAGAGGTTGTGTGTATTGACACGAGGCACAGATGAGATATGGTGATTATTGTGATACGGTCAGTTCACATTGATTTCCCGTGCAAGGTGTGATCAGTACACAATTCAAGTGGCACAGAGTTCAATAATGATCCAATGTTAGTTCTAAAAACTGTAGAAAGCTGGATACCACCTGGAACCTTGTAAGACTTTGTCCTTCATCTGATAATTATGGACTCACTGCACAGTGATGATCAAATACATGTTGTGCACATGTTCGACAATTACTCTACTGAACCTGATTCTGATAGAAACAAGACAAGGCACCAGTGAGGGAGGAATTTTCAGAAAGTCTAGTATTGTTTCCTTTAAGACCATAGTATTACAATAAGAGCTAGACGGAATGGAAATTTTTTCAGCAGCTACCTTTGATGCAGTGTCTTGGTGCTGTACAGTGACTAATGTCGTAATTTTGTGTTTCAGGTTGAAGGAAGAGATGAGGAAATAGAGAGGATGAGCAGGATGTTGGATGGCGGCCGCCCGGCCGATGTGGTGGCCCTCGAGTCGCGCAACCGCGCCAACGAGCGGATGATCTCCCACCTCAACATACAGGTGGGTCACACCCTTTCCCATACTCGTATACCCTGTAAAACTGTAATTATTTGTCTGTCGTAGTACATACAATATGAGGGGCGGTGGGGTAGTCTAGTGGTGAAAGCATTGGCTCGTCATGCCGAAGACCCGGGTTCGAATCCCCACATGGGTACTATGTGTGAAGCCCATTTCTGGTGTCCCCTGTGATATTGCTGGAATATTGCTAAAAGCGTAAAACCAAAACTCAGTCAGTCAGTCAGTCAGTCAGACATACAATATGAGAACTGGGATTTGTGCTTTGACTATACATACTACATAGTGACTATCAAGAAGATCTGGTTGGTGATGTACGCTCATGAGTAGTGTGGGAGGTCAGTGGTAAAAATGAGAGCGACACAGAAGAGTTGTATTTGACTCCATGAATATTTGAATCCCACTCGGGGTGGACCTAGCTGGAACATTGCTGGTAGTGTCATACATTGTACTGACCTCCACTGTGGTGTTGTGGATGGTGTACCAGCTTTGAGAGTGGGAGGTTGGTCGTTTGGTCCACAGCTAGGCATACAGATGTTGAAAGATGGTGCTTGTTACCCTGCCTGGTGCTCAGCATTAAGAAATTGACAAGGACCAGTCGGCATGGAATCAGTATAGTTTGTCTAGTTAAGCATTCATGTTAAGCAGTGGCATGGTATATCAGTGGGCTAGCACTATAAATCCATTCTTTACAGGCACTCTCACATGTATACAAATACAGTGAAACCTGCTAACACCGGCACCTGTCTAATCCGACACACTGTCAAAACCGGCATAAAATTTTGGTCCCGCCATTTTACAACGATATTATGATCATTAAAACATTGTCTAATCCAGCACCTGTCTATTCCGTATTCTGGCACGACTTTCCAGTCCCAACAAGCAATTTTAACTGTAATTAACACTGTCTAAACCGGCATGGATATGAGCAGTCCAATCAAGGTCCCTTAATCCAATACGCTCTCTTGGCACGCTAGATAATCAGGAATAAAGAGATTGGCGAGTGTAAATGGCAGCTATGTTCGAAAATGATCGCCACTGTCTAATCCGGCACCTTGTCAAAACCGGCATTTTATTTCGGTCCCATGGGGTGCCGGTTTAGACAGGTTTCACTGTACATGAATGCACATCATGAAGTGCTGTAACCTTCACTGTAACGTTAGACTCCCATTTCAGTGCAGCTCACCCTTAATTCTCCATACTATCAGCTCAGTGATATTGTAGAGTGAAACAGTTTATCTGTGAAATGAGACATCAGTCTGCTTTTACAATTCCCAGCAACCCAGAATAAGTCTTCTACAATTATATCAGCCTTTGCTCTTTGCTTTGCACGTGGGCTGTGATAAGCCATGTATGCCAACCAAACAAGGCTATACTTGTACATCCCAGCTGCAAAATATTTCATTTCATGAGATGAAGCATTACATCATCAATTAGCTCCAGTTTAGTATAGTCATGATTGTTTTCACGTATCATGGAAGGTGAAGACTGTGTGTTAACAATTAATCCTGCCTGCGTAGGTGGACTTCTTGAGTAACAAGAACCGAGACCTGGAGAGGAAGCTGCATAGTTCTAACTACAAGATCTCAGATGCCGACTCGAAACTGATGAAACGTCAGTCTCAGATCCGTGACTTGGAAGCAGAGCTTCAGGATGTGGACCGCATCGCCAAACGTATCCAGGGGGACAAGGAGAAGGTCGTCAAGACTGCTGACCGGGAGATGTTCGAGGCGAAGGTAAGGATGTACGCCAGGGTTTGGGTGACAGAGGTGATGTCAGGGTTAGGACTATAGTAATATGTTGGCGACGGAGATGTAGTCATAGTGCTGAGGTTGCAAAACTTAAAGAAAATTGCCGAAAATATAGGTTTTCTGTCTTTGTGAATAACATGAACGGAATTTAGTTTCGGTACAGATATAAAATGTGTTTGATGGTTATAGACCATTTGACATATTTCATTGAATTGTTACTATATGTATCTTCCTGTAGTTCTCTCAACTTTTAGATATCGACCAGATGAGGTCAGGTTATCATGGACGATGATGTGGCATCGTGTGTGATGACAGGGACTATTGGTTGTTGTTTTTTCAGTCACAGATTTGATTGTACACAAGTCTCCTTGATGTAGCTGGAATATTGCTGAAAATATTCACTCAATCAAGTCTACAAACTTTCAATGTTTTGTCTTCATTGTGCATGGAAACAGTTCGTCACTTTGTCTCTTTCTTGTATGAATTTATCTACTGTTCAGTAGTTATAGTTCATGTTTTACATACAGTTTAGCTATGAATGTCGATAGTTTATAGCTAATATATAGTCTGCCTGACTCAGATAGTTTCTGGTATGTTTGTGGTGCCATTGTAGATATGTTGTAGTCTATCACTGTGTATTTCTATCATGAGATCATAGATGGCATTGTAGTGACGGGTCTGGCAGAGTTATGACCCTTATTGTCCAGCATCCACTGGTTCGATATTCTTACCTGTGCTGGCCAGCTTTACCACAGTGACATGTAATTGCAGACTTTCATCTTATATCAAGCCGCCTTGCTGTGACCGAAACAATGATCAAAACAGCATTGAAAGTCAAGTCTCACTTGTACTTTTTTTTCTGTTTTATCACACTGCTTTTCTGTAGTAATGTCAAGACTAGTTAGATATTCTTGTTCCTCCAGTACCTGTGTTAGATCCTTCCACCTAAATCGTAGTCACATGACGGAGATGTTTTCTATACGTAGAATGTTATCACTCCTCACTGTAGTGCTTGTATAGTTCCCTCACTCACACACTGTGTCGCCTGCAGGAGGAGCTGGAGAAGTCTCGGTTTGAGCTGGAGGGACTCGACATGACCGTGGCCCAGTACAAAACTGTAGGTGCACCCACTGTCCCAGCTGGTCGGCCAGTGAATAGTGAATGTAGACGATCTCCATAGTCATACTAATCTAACACTGGAAAAAAATATACAATCCGTTTTCTTTTTATAAATTTCTCTTAAAATTCTAGTTTTGTATAGTCTGATATATTCTTGCTTAGAAAACTGCATAGAAAAATTAATACTGATGAAATTTGTAATGATATTGTGTTGATAGAATTCATCAACTCAAGGTAAAAATTAATTGTCCAAAAATTATTCATTGCTTAAAATACTCTATCAAGAACTATGTAGCAAGCCTGAATGTCTAAATTAAGTAATTCTAACAAAGGACCAGGAAAACAATTTAGATAACAAGAAAATTATTGGAATGAGTAATTTCACTGAAAATATTAGATTTTTTAATTGGGAAACTTGCTTAAATGTGAGATCACTTTGTCTATCTGTTGGAGTTTGTAATCAAATATAAAGAATTGAACAGCCCTAATGCATGTTAAAGTTTTGTTGAATTTAGTTGCTAAGTACGAAATCAGAGGTTTGATTCCAAATATTTGAATTATTGATTACCTCAGATGAAGACGGCAGATGAAATATATCATTCAGGCTTTTTGTAAATGTGTAAACAAAATTTTGAAAAATGTTTATCTGTGAAGATAAAATTAAAACTTTAATTTGACATTCATAAAATCAAATTTTGAAAAAGTGCCATTTGTTCACTAAAATTTAATGATGATCATTTAATGAGGCTAAGATGATAATGATGATATCTTAATTTCTCAACACCTTTACAACAAACAGTTTAAAAATAATGACATGGAGATTTGTAAAAGTCCAATATTCTAGTAAGCACTTATAAGCACTTTGTGTTGTTTGGTGTGTTTGCACTTTGTCACACTGTCTAAGTTGTATATCTTTAATTATGATTTCCTTTTGATTCTAAACTGTTGTCTCTTGTGACTATTCCAGTGTTCATTGAATGTAGTTGTAAATCTAGCCACTAGTTAAAGACACCTTGCTTTTGAGAAACTGCTTCGGTATTTGCAACCATATCTTTAAAAGAATTTAGATATTCAATTTATTAATCACATAAAATAGTTTGAAGAACTACTTTTTTCTGAAGACATTTTCTGAATATTTCCTCTTGTGTCTAGGAAACAAAACGTATGTCGAAGGAGCTTTCTGAGATGAAGATCAGGTTTTCTTCAAAGGAGAATGAGAACATTCGTTTGGAGGGTCTGCTTGACCGCATCGAGGAGGAGAAGCGACGTCTCAGTCAGCGATGCAACAAGATGACTGCCAACGGTGAGATCCGGACCCATTGGGACAATTGTGTTATAGTTACAAGGACTACCCACACTGATATAATTCTTCCAAACTTTGTTTTAAATGAATACCTTAGAAAGATACTAGTACAGAAAAATTAGACATCTTATTTGTTAACTGGGGTCCTTCTATTTTGGGATACAGAGAAGGAGTTAGTCCTGGAGATCGAGCGTCTGAAGCGAAAGAATGGTCCAGTGAAGAAGGGCAAGATCCCGAGCAAGTTGGATGCATTTATCCGCAGTGTGGAGGAGGAGAGAGATTACTACCGGGAGCAGGCTGAGTCGTTACAACGCCTGCTCCGTGGTGATGCTCCCCGACCCCGCAGCCCCGTCAGGTCTCGACCCTCATCCCGCGCAGGTAGCCCAGTCAGGGAGGCAACGCCATCAAGATCAGACAAGAAGGTTAGAGACAGCATCTACATAAATTTTATTCAAAAGAAATTAAGGAACAAAGAAGTAGGAAGTGTATTGGTACACTTTCAAAAAATGTTTCCAGTCAACGACATAAGACATTTGTGAAGAGTTACTGTTGGAAAACATAAGGTTATAATTTGTTGCTAAGGTTACCACTGTGGCAATCCACCTCTGATCAGATATCAATTTGAAGGCAGTTTTATCTGTTATCTTATTCATGCCCATCAGTATGTGTTTCTATCACACCCTTGTTAATTTCTGATGAAATAGCAGGCCATTGACAATCCAAAAAGATTCAGCTTGGTGATTTGATAGCAATCAGTGAGGTGAACGATCCATAGACACTTGCTGCCAACTACTGAGATGCTGATGGTATGTGTTGTACCTCCTACTATGACTGCCTGACTGTGTTGTACAGAGCATCGTGCAGTACGAGACCATCATGCGGGTCCTGGAGGAGGAGAAGGACTACTACAAGAGGGAGTACGAGGCCCTCAAGGTCCTCAAGAGGTCAGCGACGCCGGTCAGAGCCTCACCCACCAAGAGTATCGTGGAGGAGGCGGAGATCAGTCGTCTGACTCGGGAGAGGGATGAGCTGAAGGGACTCCTTGACAAGTTCGAGAGACATATGGCCGAGGTAGGACATATCCAGGCACATATAAATAGTTTTAGTATTACACGATAAGCAGGAGTTATAACTGCCTGAAGAAACCCTAAATGAATCTGATATTTACAGTCATCTCAAACTTTATTTTTGCTGGGGCTGAGCAATGAAATAGTATCAGACATCTCAGATTTGTTATATACTGCATCAGATATGGTTCCTTGGTGGCCCTGTGGCATAGCCTTGTGGTTTAACCCTTTCCTTCTCATGACAGAGACGAGCTTCCATATGGCAACATCTGTGAAGTCCATGTTCGGTTCCATAATTCTGATGTCTTGACTAATCGTTTCATTGCACAAAGCCATACTACAGCCTTTATTCAGTATCCCCTAGTTGAGAAATGGGAGGATGTACTGGTCAGCATATCCGTCTGTTTGTCCTGTATTTCTCATTTCCAAAGCAGAACTCCTAAACTGTTGAATATTTCTGGATGAAACTTGCTATGCTGATCAATGTAGCACCTTTTGATGATTAGAAAGTTGAAAAACACTGAACTGAAGGCATCCAATGACATTGAACCAAAATTAGTGGCCAAACTCCAATTGCTCCAGGCCGGGGGATCTGTCATCTCCTGGTGACTCTCGCTTTGTAAAAGCATCAACATTATGTTTGTTGACAGATCCAGGCCAATGTGAAGGTGCTGACATCTGAGCGGGACAAACTCAACGGCATGTATGAGGAGACGCGTGATGAGCTGATGCGACTGAGGAGGGAGCTGGTCATCTCTCCCAAATCCCCCAAACCTTCCCTCGCAGCTCAGGCCCTCCTCCGACGGGCGGAGAACGAGCGGGACGATGTCATCGCTGACCTCCGTCGCCTCACCACAGAGCGAGACAGTCTACGCGAACGCCTCAAGGTAATCAGAAACTGTAGTAACCTGGAGTGTGTAACCTCTGTTTCTGACACAACTCAACTCTTTCTATCCCCCGCCTCGCGTTTAGCGCGAAGCAGGGGATATAGGATTAGGCTCTGTCAGTCCGTACGTATACGTACGAATTAGAATATCTAATTAATATTTGGTACCTAGGTTCATCACAGTATAAGAAAGGTCCCAGTCAGGTTTGGTGACCTTGACCTTCATTTCAAGGTCACAAGGGGACTTTAACGTTTTACTCTTGTCAGCGAGATATCTCAAGAACCGCTCACTAGATTTTCTTCATATTCCACACCAAGCTTTATCTAGGGAAGGCGCAGGGCCCAGTCGATTTTGGTGACCTTCACTTAATTTTCAAGGTAACAAAGACACTTTGAAGATTCAGCATGTTAAATTGCATGTTAAGCTATCTTAAGAACCGTTCACTGAATTTTCTTCTTATTCAACACCAAGCTTTATCTCGGGAAGGCACAGCGCCCAGTCGATTTTAGTGACCTTCACTTAATTTTCAAGGTCACAGCGACACTTTGAAGATTTCAGTATGTTAACCTGAATGTTAAAATGGTCAGCGAGATATCTCAAGAACCATTCACTGGACTTTCTTCATATTTGACACCAAGCTTCATCTAGGGAAAGTGCAAGGCCCAGTCAATTTTGGTGACCTTCACTTAATTTTCAAGGTCACAAAGACACTTTGAAGATCTAGCATGTTAAATTGCATGTTAAGATAGTCAGCAAGATATCGCAAAAAACATTCACTGGATTTTTTTCATATTTGACACCAAGCTTCATCTAATTTGGTGACCTTCACATAATTTTCAAGGTCACTCCGACACTTTGAAGATTTCAGCATGTTAACCTGAATTCACACGATTTTCTTCATATACTTTCAAGACTTCCCTTGAATGTTTTTCAATAAGCAATTTCTTTAGTACCATTTTTGCATATTTCATACACTATGACATTCATGTCACGGTCAAAGTCAGTCTTGAAAATATTTGTGTGTTTGAACAACTAAAGAGAAGATATCAAGAGAGGTTGACTGGTCATGTTTTTGTTGACATTTAACTTCATCTTAAACTTTCATTACTTTTTAAGTTTAATTTGATAATTTGCGGCAGGGCATTATGTCACCTTAGTGACAATGCTTGTTTCAAATTGACACATTCCTCTTTCCATCCATGTTAAAGTGACCAAGATACTTTCAAAGTACAATTATGACAGTTACTGTTGTTTGCTTACTTGATGTTTAGATGTTATTACAAGCACCACGGAAATACAGTTTGTGGCAAAATAATTCTTTTCAAGACTTGGAAAATATAGCCCGGAAAATTGGGTAAATGTTTTCTCTCTCTATACAACAGATCGCCACTGAGACATCTCTGTCTGACCGAGCTCGTCTGGAACAGAGGGTGGAAGATTTAGAAAATACACTACATACAGTAAGTACAACTGTTTTAAACGTTTTCTCGATTCAAAATGGAATCCAGTTTTGATATTTCTTGCCATGTATTGTTGTGTTTCATCACGGACCTGGTTTCTGTTTAGGTGGAAGCTGAGCGGAATGAATTCATAGTACGGGTGAATGTTCTCAAGGATGAAATCAAAACATTAGAGGAGCAGTTGAAGGACATGTCCTTCAGGCTGACAGAGGTGACGGATGACGCTTCCAAGGTCAGGTCGACCGCCAGCCAGATGAAGTAAGCATCCCACTCTGCTGTACTTCCTGTGTCACCATTGTTCAGATCTTCTCTATCTTCTACTCCAATGTCAATGAGGAGTAAACTTCACAATGATTTAAAAAAAACATTAAATATATTTAGGTTCTGTGGAATGTGTTTCAAGGCACATGGTTACATTTAAGTGTTGAATATATAAATGTATTAGTGCTCATTTGTCAATTAATTTTATGAGAGATGTCTAAATTGTTGTTATATTCTGAAGAATAACCTGAACCTGTAGACAATAAAAACGACAAGATTTATGTTTTCTGTAATGCGTCACTATAATAATGCGAGAAGAGTACAGACGCATTAATTTCATGATTTACAGTATTGTTTGGATGAATGTGAGGCAAATTACATATCTTCTCTTATGACCAAGTCTATGTTGTAGTCAAATCTATGTCTATATATATGATGTATTGTATGACAGAATGTTGGCGGAAGAGTCTGAGAAGTCTCTAGAGGAGACCCAGAGACGCCTGTCCCGCCGTGAGGGAGAACTACAATCTCAGGAAGAAAGATCTGTAACTCTTGAGGAGCGTCTCGCAGAGTTGTCCAGAGCTCTACAAATTGCCCGAGAGGAGGGCAATCAGCTCCGCAACACAATTAACGCCATGGACCGTGAGAAGGACTCCCTACAGCTCACTGTTGATGAGAAGACGGAGAAGCAAGCACAGCTCAATAATGAACTCCACGACAGGGTTAGTGTACTGTAGAGAGAGAAAGATGTTTAGGGTTAGGTTCAGTCAGATTGTTTGGATTTGAGGTGAATGGTATGATAGAAGTCTGAAAGTTGAAATAAAAAGCTGGATGTTTTTCATTTTATGATAAATCTCAGTCTGAAAATAAGTGTCTCGAAATAAAAAAGGTTTAGATCAGTTGAATGGGTCATGAATTTCATTGTCATAACAATATGATGGATTTAGTTATAACCAGAGTTGGTAATATTTTTGTGTCTTTAGTTAAATGTAAGGTTGAAATCTGTTACCCCACTGCCCCTATTTATTTCAAGCTTATGTGGCATTTGTGTTCCAGGAGAGGTTTATCAGTGATCTCAAGATTCGGGTGTCTGAGCTGGAAGCTCAACTTGGGTGAGTTACCTGTAATAGTGTCATGTTACTAGTGTGAAAACAAGTACTGTAACAATATCTGTGGCATCTGACATGCTGTTGTATTTCCACTGCATATGTCTGATTTAGTTTCATGTCCGTGAATATAGGTAATAATTGATTAGATATGCTTCCACAAAGCTGCTTCACTCTTAATTTCTGTGATATTGATTGTGAGCATGGTGACTGATTGTTAGATCTGCCCGATGCAAGTACTTCTGCTGCCATTGTTGAGTGGTTCCTTCTACTCCCCAGACATGCCAATGAGAACCTGAACCTGAAGGACCGGGAGCTGAAGAGCATGAGGCGCCAGCTGGACTCCACCGGCGAGGATCTGACGGAGACCAGCCGCAGCAAGGACATCGCACTGAGGGAGAACCGGCGGCTCCAGGATGACCTTGCAGTCATGACCAAGGAGAACCAGGCAAGTGCAGCCACTGGAAAACACTATATAGTTCCTGCCTACAGCATTACCATTTGTAATAATCTAGACAGCTCATACACATTACCAATGACCCTTAAATTACCCCCAGTATATTACTCAGGTCCATTGTTCATTGCTGAGTTTGTCTATACATACCAAGGTCCTTGTAAGTACCAACGTCCACTATAAATTACTCAGGTCCATAGTTCATTACTGAGTTCATCCATACATACCAAGGTTCCCTATAGTTATCCTTGGTTCTCTGAGGTCCACCACACATTACTGAGATCTCCCACGTTACCCAGGTCCCTCACATTACTGAGATCATTAACCAGGTATTATAACACATTTCCAAGGTCAACCAACATTGGTGAGATCTCCCACGTTACCCAGGTCCCTCATACATTAACCAGGTATTATAAAACATTTCCAAGGTCAACCAACATTGGCAAGGTCAACCCACATTACTGAGGTTTGTGTGTGGTGCTGGGGTCAGCAAGATTAGCGAGGTCCCATACATTATCCAGTGTTAAGCATAGCTTCTAAAGGTTCCTCCACATTATTGCCTGTGGTTGCTGTGTTACAGAAGCTGAACCAGGAGCTGCAGGACGCCCTGGAAGAGCGGGAACAGCTCAAGATCCAGGTCCAGGAGTACATCATCGAGGTCAAGCGCACTGAGGACGTCCTCTCATCCAAGGTACGACAAGTCACTGCTGCCTGTATTCCTGTGTAGCTTGCAGAGAAAATACAATGATTTTAAATGCATTGACTTAGTACAATTTTTTATTTAGCAAATTAAAAGGAAATGAATGAAAGTATTAAGATGCTTCATATACACAAAAGAAATCAAGTTGAAGTGTGTCAGTTTTGCCAAACACAGACTGACTCACATTCATATTCACAGATTCATGTATTGACTCGCATACTGATTCACACTGTTCTGTGTCCTTAGGAGCAGGAACGGTCGGACATCCTGGAGCAGTACCGCCGGCTGTCCATGGAGGCAGAGCAGTACCAGACTACCAGCCACCAGCTGGAGAGCGAGGGATCCAACCTGCGACTGGAGCTCATGACGAAGGACTCCGAGCTGCGGCGCTACCGCGACAAGACCGAAAACTTGGAGAGGGAGGTCCAGGAGGTAGGACATGATCTGCTGCGCTATCTGGCACTGAACATTCATACATGTCATCTCCGTCAAGGTCAGGGTTACAATTGGTTTTCAGTAAGCCATGTATGTCGTAAGTGGTGGCTGATGAGATCAGATGGTCTGGCTTGCTGACTTGGTTGATGCATGTCATTGCATCCGAAATGTGTAGATCACTGGATTGCCTGGTCCAGATTTGATTACAGCTGGAATATTGCTGAGTGCCATGTCCAACAAACGACATTTGCTGAGAGCATCAATGCAGTCAGATCTTGTCAATATTGCACCGTGTTTTTACGGAATAAATCCAGAAGGTGCCTAACCATTTTTTAATCTTCCTTGATGAGCCATTTACCTTTTCCATCTGAGAAGAGACACTGGGATGTGTTTTCAGCAAGATATCGTTTCTATTGCTGCAGCATCTGTCAGCCCAGCAGTCGTATGAGATACAGCTGTCGAACCTGACCCGGTCGGTGGCCACCCTGGAGGAGAGTCTGAGGCAGACGGAGGAGGACAAGCAGAACCTGCTGGCGGACCTAACTGCTGTCCGCGAGATGTGTAGCCGTCTGGAGGGTGTCAAGGAGACCCTGCAGAGGCTTGACTGTCAACGTGTTCACCAGATGCCTCCCATCGACAAGGAGCAGGTAGGCTGAACATCTGTGTAAAACTTTGGAGTCAACTTTGTGTGCAGACTCTTTCAGTGTTTAGTTTACAGTACACATCCTGTGCACTTCTCGAATCCGTTGGTATATGTGGCCACATGAATACGGCAAACAATGTCATTGTTAGCGTGCAGTGAACTTGGAACGTGCTGTGACTATGTGTCCCAGTCCACCCAGCTGTGAATGGGTACCTCGTTAATTGTTAGCCACAATGTTCGGTGCGCCTAGTGGCTGCAAGAGTTGTTACCAGGGATTGAGATTGATAATGATATGCCGTTGAGATTGACATCCAATGATCGAGGGTTACAGAAGCATTTCTATGCCTGGATATATGTAGAATTGTTGCCTGGATTGTGGAGTTTCTGGATTAAAGGATCTGGACAGATGAGAATTGCTGGAGAGGTGACCTTCACCCTCTCAACCATCATTCCCAGGAAGCAGCTGCTTGTTTACAGTCTTCATCCTTGTATTGACTGTTTCTTCAAAATTACTCATCACTTCTGCAGGGCAGATCTTTACATTGATATTTTGTGGTGTTCTGAAAAAAACACTATTGTTTTCTGAATGATAAAACCTAACACACCAAGACACTCTAGACCATACACAGATAACAAGTAGAAATGGCCCTACTGGACAAAGCTGTCTTCACACAATAATTGTCTTAAGTCTATTGTCTGCCTCTGACACACACATTTTGTCTGTAGTTGGCGAGTGTCATCGAGGACCTGCGCCAGGAGGGCGACCTGCTGAAGGGCCAGGTCTCATCAGAGCGGACCGCTTCAAAGAACCTGGAGGGTCTCCTGCAGAACAACCGCGAGAAGGAGTTCCAGTTCCAGCTCACGACCCAGGAGAGGAACGCAGAAGTCCAGATGCTCAAGGACAGGCTGTCACTCAATGAGAGCAAAATGTGAGTGAAGTTGTGTGTAGGGTTGTGAAGCAAGTACTGGCTCCCAGTTTGATGGTAGGGGTATTGAGCTGGGCCCATTCCATAACAGCTATCTCTGTGCTTATGATTGTCGAAAGTCTATGTTAAAGTATAACTTTGTGGAACAGAGCCAAGGGAGATAATGAAAATGCTAGTGGTACTGTATTTGTGAGAATAAGTACATTGTTGGACAAGCTTTATCTGTACAACCATGCATTCAGAATTAGGAATACCAGTGAGTGAGTGAGTATGGTTTTACTCCGCTTTTAGAAATGTTCCAGCAATATCACGGCGGGGGACACCAGAAATGGACTTCACACATTGTACGCGTGTAGGGAATCAAACCCGGGTCTTCAGCGTGACGAGCGAGAGCTTTATGTCCAGTTTATTTATTTGGCCATCCGTATCCCTTTGTATTGATTCATCCTTATCTGCCTGCAGCCAAAGTCAGAGTCGAGAGATTGCGTCGCTGAGGACCAGGAACGTGGAGCTGGAGGGAGATGTGGAGAGGCTCCGCCGACAACTCACAGGGGAGAGGTTCGAGAGGTATGTGTCTTCAAACCAGATCTCGTAGTAGTAGATGATGGTGATGATGATATGGATGATATGCACCCTATTGCATTTTGTAAGACGCTGGATCCAGTGGTCAGGTTCAGTGACTTGGTTTTTTTTGTTTCAATAAACCAGTTGTGATGCTCATGATGACATCATCTGGGTTTGCCTGAGCAAGGTTCTACTATTTACAGGCCCTAGTGATATAGCTGGTGGCTTGAAGCAAAATACAAACAAACATGATCGTAACTAAATTATGTTATTTCGTTTCCAGAGAGAGAGCTGTGCAGGAGATGAGGAGACATGGGCTCAACCCGCCAGTTATGATATCAGAGTATTCATCCTCAATCACTCGTGTGTCAAGGTCATTAAGCCCAGGGAGGGCAAGGTCACGCTCAAGGTCAAGATCACCTAGTCCCAGCAGGTAGGTTTCGGTATTGATGTATCAAGTTACAAGGCGTTCTTCTTTGAGCTTGCAGTGAGACCAGTACAGGTCGATGTTGGAAGTGAAGATGCAAGTTACAATTTGTCCCTAGCAACCTGTACATGTTGTAAGAGATAACTATTGGGATTGGGTGATCGGGATTGCCAACTTGGTTCATGTCATCGTATCCCATTTGTGAATATCAGTGCTCATGATGTCAATCACTGGATTGTCTAATCCAGAGCCAATTATTTTGCTTAATGTGGCATTAAAACAAAGAAAGTCACATGAAATAATTACATTGTTGCCACTTTCTTCCTATTCTATAATGCTTCTGAAATGCTTCTATCTTTTGAAAATGTTTGTCATACCCTAATGTGTTAATGATCCAGATATCGCAGTCCAGACACTTCCATGTTGAGTTCCTCCATGCGCCGTCGGTCGCCAGAACGTACCAGCTTCATTATACAGGATGACGACCTCCTGGAAACTTCACCAAAAAGTTACAGTCAAGATATCCTGTAAACGCTCCGACATCAGAGCCGCCATCTTGATTTCCAGGGAATGTTGTGACAGCAGGCACAGGATTACTCCGATAAACAAATCACTCACTGTCAGAAATATGTCTGACAGGAACGATAAATCTCCGTCCTAGCATAACATCTGAGTATTACATTTTATCGAAGTCTTTGTATTTGCCTTGTATCATACTGAACATATGATACATTTCGTCAAAGATAAGATACGACAATCCAGTATACCATACCTCTTCATATGAATTAAGATAATAATGGAAGTCGAATTGAATAATTCTGTGCCAGTTCCATGTAATCACATACTGACATTGGACTTGTAGCAGAGGAACATCACTGCCAAACATTCCAGCCTTCTGTAGTGGAGAGTCGACAAAGGGAAACAACTCATGGCCACTTCCTGTCACTTGAGATATTATTTATTTTAGGAGCATTGTTATATGTAGCTATGGTTGACTCTATATGTCATGGTTTGTCATCTTACAGAAAGGGAATAGCAATTCCTATGCAAACTTGACAAAGACATCTGTGATAATAAAACAGCATTGAAGATGTAGTTTACTGCTGTCTCCCTTCCAAAGTTGAATGTGTATGTTGGACAAGGTTTTCATGGTTGAGTGTCCAGTGTTTCTCACCCTTGTCCAACATATATATTTGGAAGGGACATCGTTGCTTTAAGATTTGAAGCTGCAAAAGGTTATACTGTTGATTGTAGTAGGTCAAACCAAGGTATATAGCATGTAACTCTCGGCATATCTGTTGTATTTAAAAAAGCTGGACTGTGATATATGTTTGTCCTCAGAGCCAGTCGTCGTGCAGGGCGATGGTGTCCACATGGTGGCTAAAGGCCTACATTGTAGCGGGTCACTGCCACGTGATGGCTACCTCTCAACTTCTCAACTATTGCCACTAAACAATCTCAACTCATTGCAACGGGCTTGTCCTAATATGAAATAACAAACTAATGCACACAAAAAATAACATTTTTTGTACAAAACTGTGGGAAAGATATATTTAATAATATTTTGAACACTTTAATGTTTTTCAAGAGATTAGCATTTTAATTTTCAAATCATTACAGAAAGTTTTATTTTTGTCTATAAAAATCATTATTACTTTATCAATGAAAGTTGTGTAAACAATCAGATCACACCATAAATTAATCAAGATTGGACTTACAGCGGTTAAGATGGCTTTGTGTGGCAGTGGTTAAAAACCTGGGCACAACTTCAACTTTAAAATACCCCAATGTGGAAAGTGACAGTTTTGCTAATTTGAATCAGTTCCCTCTTTTTAATAACGAGTGCTATATTTATTTCTGTTACACTTATTACAGCTGTGCCCGGCTGGCTCTTGAAGCTTGTACTGAAACCTGTGGCATGAAATCCGTCCAATGGTCTGCTAGTTTTACATAGGTATTCCCTCCAACCATCTTTACTTTTTGTGTTTTTGTACCAGTATTGTAGATAGATGGATGTACTTTGTTTATATACTATAGTGACAACTATAACAAATAGGTATTGATTTGAACTTTTAGATTTAGTATGTAGGGAACTAGATAACATCCTCATTTTGGAACATTCCTTTCTTTCTTCTGAAATTCCATATTTACAACTTGGAACCATCAGACGTATTTTACGTTCTTTGTTGTAATCTCAATATTATTGATGGAAGTTCAATTGTCCATTTTAGTTTTTGAACAAAGTATATCATGACTAATTGTATATATTCTTTATATATAAATATTTTATTTAATTTCCTTTCATAACTCTGTAGTTCATGACCTATGAAACTAATATCTAGGACCCTTCAAGGTGTGCAAGATTAACATAAGTCACAGATGGACTAGAAAATCATGAAATGTGGCGTGCAAAGGTTTTCCATGTAGTCATATATATATATTTCTATTTTGTTACATAGCCTAACATTGAAACTGTCATAGATATTGTGTAGGAAACTCACAGCTCTGATACATTCCAACCTTTCCACTGTGCAGTGTGTGGAGCTCAACATTCCAGTAGGGGAGACAACTCATACAGTCTTCATCCTCAGCTACTGTGGACCTGTAGTGAATCGTAGCTACTGCTTGACAGATGAGACTGGTGTGCTCAGCCCTGTAAACATCAGCACTGTGTGTTCATTCCAGTTTATCAAGACTTTGTATTGACAAGGTGTCCATAATGGTCAGTTTTGCTAATTCATATCCACTCTAATCATCTACTATTAAATTCATGTTTCGGTGTCTCACAAATTTATGCAAGAATTGTGTAGGAATTTGTGACCAAATATCTCTCCAAGGATCTTAATGTATGATTTCTTCCGACTGAATATCTTCCAACTTCTGTCCCTCTCTCTGGAGACCCACAGTGCGATGTTTCCATGGTGACAATAGCATTATTCCAACGAAGGATTGTCTTCCATCAACACACCTCCATTACCATACTGCCTTACGATGTCTGCAGATGTAGTTGATTCTGATCTGTCCACTCCTCAATAAATTATGTGCATAATCAAAGTGGGTCTGTTGTTTCTTCATAAGAACAGTTTATTATAAAACTCACCGATTCAAGGACTAAACATCACCCTCACCCTTAAGTCTTTTATATCAAATCACGAGTTGATTTAACTTTCATCAACAAGTACTGATATGTTTGATATTAATCATTTCAGTTTGTACAGTTAAAACCAGTTTATATGTAAAAGATGCACCTAACCGGAATCAGTGGCACAGTGTCATTCCATTGAGGTGTAGTCGTCATGTTACGTTATGGAAGGTAAGTTCAAGTTCAAGGGACTATGATCGGCAACAACTCCGCCTCCACATGCTGAAGTACTGTTCGAAGCAGCTTAAAACCAAACTCACTGTGTTTGTTTAAACCCTCACGTGTGTTGACTGGCAAATGATCTTACTGAGAAGCATTCCGGTCGTCCAACAACATGACTTGCAGATGTAATGATATAATACTGACCGCATGGTTTCAGATCTGAATTGTCAGCTGATTATACATGAAGGGCAAATAGATTTGCTAAAAAAGTAATTTATTGCAATGAGACAGCTGACTAGTTACAGTTTATACAAGCAGATACGTGGTGACACTGGAACTCAGTCCGTACAGATATCCATCATTATCATAATAATAATATCCATGATTATCATCATCATACATAATCATGTAACATAAAAATCTGGAGCTATACAGCTGTTCTGGCAGGACACAACCTCAGTCAATTAAAGCTAACATACCAAGATAATATGTGGAAAGTCGCAACTCAAATTCATCAAATCAGGGAAATAAATGCTCTCGGTCCATACATAGTTTTTGCCTTAACTGAACCACATTTAAATATAGTGTTAAGACAGTATATACCTTGATGCCAGTTTTTTTGTTTTACAAGCCCCTGTGAACAGAACAAATTGCAAAATGACTTGTCTCCATCACTTTTCATAAACACTCAAAAATAATCACAAACAAAATGTCTAAAGCTGGATAACCAATACCCTTGTATAAACAAAGATGTAATGTACAGCATAACTGAATAGTGATAACATCAGATTGGTCATTCAGTCCCTTTCAGCAAACAATGACCATAACAAACACAAAACTGCACATATTCTGGGCTGAGATACAGAAATAACATGCTTAATGTGTTTTTGTATTAAACAGCATGGGTCCAGGGTATGTATCACAATAGACTGGAGATAAAATTCCCTCGCTAAATAAGGATGATTTCCAGAAAACGAGGCAATACACTGACAACACTGCTACCAGTAAAATAACACATTATACTATAAATAAAACAACGATTCTCTTGACATACAAAGTACAGAACATGCTCACAAAATTATTACCAAAAACCAAAATGAAGAATGACTACAACAATAGTTTAAGAAGTGAATGAATAAAAGAAAATTGTGAGACGCCAAAAGGGCAAGCAGTGTTCCCCTCACTCTTCAAACATCCCTGTCAAACCCATTAGCAGCAACATTTTAGGCTATGTCGAAGTAGTAACATTTTAGGCTATATCGTAGCAGCATTTTCATAGCAGCTTTTGGCTTTATCATGACAGCATCTGTGCTTGTATAGCAGTATCCAGGCTGTACCAGAACAGCTTTCAGGCCTTATCATAGCAGCAGAATGACAAACCTGTAATCCTCTGATAACATTCCTGGGTGTATATATCTTTCAGACAGTCTTTATCCTCTAGGTAAATACAATAATGAGAGGAGATCCATGAATTAAACACTAACCAGGATGATATTGAGGTATTTGATTCTACAAGATGTATCATTAACAGCTGGAAGAAGGGCCCTGTCTCACTGTATGAACACAAGGAACTGGATGGGGCATCAGCAACACTCCAATATATGCTCACAGAAAGACAAGTGTGATGGGTAACATATACACTTAACAATAAACGACATACACAATTTCCAGATAAATAGATGTTGTAAATGCAACAGTCAACAACAAAAACAGGATGTCTCCAGCATCCCTAGTCTGTCAGAGCTACAGATAACTTTTTGGGTCATTGAGTTATGTACTCGCTTGTGTTCATCTCAATTGTGTATACTCGTCACGATATGGCTGGAATATTGCCGATGTGACGTTAAATTTTAACTCACTCACTCAATTGTGTATCCTAATTTTCCTTTGAGTAACCAAATAAATTGTACTCACCTCACTCAAACTCAATTGGGCATTTTGCCTTTTTCAATTAATTTTAAAAATGTAATAAAGTTTAAATGTTAGTGCTTGTTATTTATATTTAATCTGTAATATGAGAAACGATAATAAAGACTGCAAGTTGTCAAGTTCATGACCTGAAATAGAACCTCTCAATATACCTCAGTTCTTTTATCTATCCACCGATACGCAAGCTAAGATTTGACATTTTTGTGTGTACGCATGTAAGATCACATTTATTGAGTATTTACAAAAATTCCAGCATACACAATAGACTTAATAGGAATTGAGTTTTCACATAAATATTTGCGTAATTTACGCAGATAAGCAGTTTATCTGTACCTCTGGTCTGTTCCACATCATCTATAGTGAATTCATCCTCTTCCAGATTTCTATTACATTCTTCAGTCGGGCAAGGCGGGCAAAGGCGGCCAAGGCGGGCAAGGTGGGCAAGGCGGGCAAGGCGAGCAAGCAGTAATTGTGCCATATTTTTGGGAGAGTGGGCATGCTCTTCAAGCAGCAGGTGAAGGATGATGGATTAATTTGCTAATTTTCACCCAGCAGAAAAAAATGGTTACCCGGTGGGATAGGTCATGTGACCGTAACCTTCTAGCACCTAACAGGCAGCTTGGGTTATCCAGGGTAATAATGTGTTGTGCTATTCATTCTATGAGCCAACCTGGTGTGGAGTTTGGCGCTATATTATGGACACATTATTATTATGATTATCATTAACTCCTAACAATTAATTTACCAACACTAAGCTAACTCTTAGCGATACATTTGCTAACTCTAAGTGATTCATGGCTTGCAACACACACAGCTAATTCAAAGAAAAAATGTTGCAATGTACATTTTTGTACACAAACACCACATGCACAATAAATCTGAAGACATCATGTAAGGTATATAGGTTACAGTCACAGTGTAAATGCATGACATTTTCACTTAGGAAACATACAAATAATAATTTCCGACTAAATAATATATCATTTTGCAAACTGACCGAACAATGTTTCTATTATTTAATTATGAAGACAAATTCCAAACATTTCTATGCTGAATCATAACAGTTGACTGACAATTAATAGAATTAAATTTAGGCCAGACCAATTTTATTTCTTGTTTTACGGATCCGCTGGTCGCAATTTTTTCAAGAATAACACAAAAAAATTATTATTTTTCCCCACTCAAAAAATAAAATTCTATTGTTTTTTTTATTGGCCAAAAATGTAAACTTTCAAGAAAATATTTTTTAAATTGTATTTTGCCCCATATACACTTCATAAATTGCCAAAAGTAAAATACTTTGAGTATTTAGAAGGAATATTACTTTGACTGGTGATTTTATTTTTATTTTTTTTTCCTCCTGCCTTTAGGTTTTCTGACGACAAATATCCATAAAACAAGAAATAAAATTGGTCTGGCCTTAGGTATTTTGTTCTTTTCCCCTCTAATCCCAGCATAATTTTCCCAGGCTAAAGGTCTTAAGACCTTTTGAACCTCTTGATAATTTATAGTCAAGCTGTCAAAGAAAAGCACATGTTGTTCAGTCAGTTTGTAAACCGCCTATGTGAATCCTATTTTATATATACAATAGCACAAACATATATCACCAGGTATTGACATATGATATACAAATAAGACATCTACAGGAAAATAGAAAAAATCTGCATAGATAAATATATATCAAAATATCATATTTTTACTCCACATACTGCTGACAAAGGAACGACTGAGGGCTTACAACCGGAAACTGTGCTGCAGATTCACTGAGGTCTGACCGGGGAATATAGCATGTGTATCCCCCGGTTGGACCTCACCTGAGATATGCACAATATATTCCCTTGGCGGACATCACCTGGGATATACACAATATATTCCCTGGGTGGTTTGGTGTGCATGTGGGTGATGTTATTATTCCTATGTTTCTACATAACAGCCTGTAATCTGTCCGTGAAAACTATTTAGGGCTGAATAATAATGATAATAAGACGATTTAGGGAATTTATTTTCTTGAAAGACTTGTTGTCATGAAAACAGTGTTTTGAAAAACATAAAAAAGCAGTGACTTAAAAGCATATCAGTTCTCACAAAAAATCTCATCAAACCCCACCCCCAGAACATTAACTGGTGGGTTCTAACAACGTCTGAAACAACAACAAATGGAAAGTGTTTCTGGTTACAGATAGTACGCAGGATATAATTATAGTGGACCTCAAAACACACACTGAAATTTAGAAACAAATGGATTCCTAATCTGTACACTATTGTGTTGGCCCCTGTAGTGGTATATCACAATAATAGAGACAATGCATTATTATGTGTACTGGACATTGTGACACTGTGTGGCTGTCATCATGGTATATACAGTGCAGCACAACAGTGGAGCTGATAAAATGCTGTGTAATATATCAGTAGAACTAACACACTGCAGTATAGCAAAACAGTCATCAGCACAATGTCACACGACAGTAGAGTAGACACAATGTCACACAATGGTAGAGTGGACACAATGTCACACAGATGTCACACAAACGGTAGAGTGGACACAATGTCACACAACAGTAGAGTGGACACAATGTCACACAACAGTAGAGTGGACACAATGTCACACAACAGTAGAGTGGACACAATGTCACACAACAGTAGAGTGGACACAATGTCACACAACAGTAGAGTGGACACAATGTCACACAACAGTAGAGTGGACACAATGTCACACAACAGTAGAGTGGACACAATGTCACACAACAGTAGAGTGGACACAATGTCACACAACAGTAGAGTGGACACAATGTCACACAACAGTAGAGTGGACACAATGTCACACAACAGTAGAGTGGACACAATGTCACACAACAGTAGAGTGGACACAATGTCACACAACAGTAGAGTGGACACAATGTCACACAACAGTAGAGTTGGACACAAGTCACACAAGTGGTCACAATAAATGACACAATGTCACACAACAGTAGAGTGGACACAATGTCACACAACAGTAGAGTGGACACAATGTCACACAACAGTAGAGTGGACACAATGTCACACAACAGTAGAGTGGACACAATGTCACACAACAGTAGTAGAGTGGACACAATGTCACACAACAGTAGAGTGGACACAATGTCACACAACAGTAGAGTGGACACAATGTCACACAACAGTAGAGTGGACACAATGTCACACAACAGTAGAGTGGACACAATGTCACACAACAGTAGAGTGGACACAATGTCACACAACAGTAGAGTGGACACAATGTCACACAACAGTAGAGTGGACACAATGTCACACAACAGTAGAGTGGACACAATGTCACACAACAGTACAGTGGGCACAATGTCACACAACGGTAGAGCGGACACAATGTCACACAACGGTAGAGCGGACACAATGTCACACAACAGTACAGTGGGCACAATGTCACACAAAGGTAGAGCGGACACAATGTCACACAACGGTAGAGCGGACACAATGTCACACAACACAGTACAATGTTACAGTGCAGCAGAGTCAATATAGCAATATAGTGTAATATAGCAAAACAGTATAATTGACAAGATTCAGAGCAAGGGATTCAATCCAGTACAGAAACCCACTGTTTGTCATGTGGAAATATGATTGTAAAGGACAATCCCAAGTTATCGTTATACATTTTGATAGTTTCCAACTTCCAGATCAACAAAACTTGCAGCAGGAAGGAAAGAAAGCACCACAAAGTAAAGGTGGAAGCAAGGATATGGAAGCATGGATACTACAAGCAACTCTAGTGCCAGCACTGACGACACACACGTCCTACTGAGCAGCAGATCCTCAGCAGTAGGTATACTTATGTAACTGAAAATGTCATGCTGATAATGGAAATATGTTACTCCATACAGGTTTGAACCCCTGGACAGCAGAATCTCGCATGACTAAGGGAAGCAACTCTGCACAGCATGATGCACACTAGACCACTTGGATACCCGAGCTTAAGTGGGAATACCAGTTTGTTGCAATCTACCAGATTGCAATCAGACACTATCCCCAAGTAAACAGCAAGAGAAGACACTGTCCCCAATTAAGGAGCAACAGAAGACACTGCAACAATAGGGGCTAGGTGACACTGATGGAATAAAATAGAGTCAACACTTTCAGTTGTAAACAGGTGTAAATACAAACATGACCTGGGTAATCATTAACTATTCAACAATGTTACCATCTGACATACAAGATACAGAGCAATAGCTTGTTACTCAAGACTTCCAGGAACTGATCATCTGCAGTACAAGACAATGGAGACAATCTTGTCTGGGAGGTTAAGTTGACAGGTTGTCACTGTACATGCCATACATATGACCAGAATTTATCTAGAATCTTAGGCCAAATGTGCCTTAATAGCAGGCAAATTGGGATAAAACGTTTTTGTTTACAATTTGGTAATTATACATTAAAACCTATCATGTTTTATAGGTCCTTTATCAGTGAAATACAAATTACCCCTACAGGTTGTATCTAGAGGTACAGTATTGTACACATGAACTGGGTCATTTTCAGTTCTAATGTGGGAATATTAGCCTCTGGGTAGGTCCAGATCAATTCCTTTGTGATGCTGAGATAAAAATCTTTTGAACATCCTCACATTACTAAAATAACGTCCAGTAGAGTGTGAGATATAGATCTGTAAGTACACTTGCAACAAAATGTTACGGAACACATGATTGTGTGCAAAATACACACGTTATAAGGGTTGAATGTAAAGTAGATATGTTTAGATATATATCAATATGGAGGCAGAGAGTATCTTACAATATAAATGATACATGGCCAGTCAAAGCCAGAACATTCTGCAAAATACAGCTAACAAATATGACATTAAACATCGCAAAAAAATAAGCTATAAGAAAATCTTTCAATAAGAATATGTCACTTTTTGTTCCGGAAGGGACACAACTCTGCTCACATGACAAAAAATAACTCTCCCTGAAAGCATTTTTATCAAGTTGTATGTCCATAGTTTATTATGAAGAAAAAAACAGATCTATAAATATATGAACCATAAAATATATTGACTGTGTTTTTAAACAAATAAACGCCAGATTCGTCACATCGGGGGGCTGGTCAGGAAACTGATACTGGAATGCTGTGTTCGATGGGATAGCAAGTTATGATAACCCAATTGCAATACAATAGGAAAATAACAAGATGACATTTGTCATGACAAGCAGCTGTCTTCAGTAACTAAAGTTAATGATTACAGCCAAGGCATACTTTGTGGAGAGTAATGCCTATTCAACATGGTCAACAATAGTTGGAAAGCTGTACTATCAGTACATAGTATGTTATAAATCCTATTCCTAGTTTGAATCAGCTCATATTACATGTTTTGTGTTGTTTGATATTAATATATCACATTAATATATGCATCGTGGAACAAACAAATAATATTTTCCTGAATCGTTAAAGGGCCACTGCAACCATTCATTCTCAATGGTCCAAATTTGAAGCATTTTATCAAAACTGTTTTCTTGCTGAGGGCCTTAAACTGGTGGAATTTTGTCAAACTTTATTTTAGAAAACATCTAAAAACTTTGGCTCATTCATAAAACTGCTTCATTATTCAAGAAGTGTACATTTATTACCCTTAAGATAAATTTGTTGAATTCTGATTGGTCAATAGCCAAAGCATACCAAACCATGTAGGCGGGCCAGAGCCTGAGGCTCGGTGGGACATGATATGTACATATATGTATTGTGGAGGTACAGTGTCAGACAGAATGTAAATAAATGTGGAAATACAGAAATCTTAAAAACAGTCCATATAAAACATACTATAAATAGTCTCGTTTAGGGATGTTTCTGATTAAAATCACACACAGAAACAGATATTGTTTGATTTTAAGATTAGGAGTTTAACATCAAGAACTAAGCCCTTAGGTAAAACATACACTACATGAGGCTAATACAAATAAAAGCTTTCAAACCTTATAACACAACATTGTAACAACATGTGACCTGAAGAGTTGATGACCTGAACAGTTTTTGTACACAGACAACACAACAAAGAGGGGTGGTGTGATGGCCACACAACAAAGAGGGGTGGTTTCATGGCCACACAACAAAGAGGGGTTTGATGGCGACACAACACATAGGTGGGGCTTCACAGATGCAGAAAAGCAACATACAGTCAAGGCTTAACATGTCATGTGGCTTAACAGAGACACGGCAGAGAGGCATGACTTAAAACAAACACAATGGAGAGGTTTGGTCTTGTCGACCCTGACACACAGCAACCAGTACAAGGTCATTACTCTATCAAACAATCTAGTCAACATTCTGGTAGTCTGGATGTTCTGCCTTTCAGACTTACTGATTACATCTAAATACACATTACACAGAATTAATATAAAATCAAGATTCATTTATCTATAAATTTGTCATTTCACTGGAAACTGTCAGGTCGGGATCAGTCAGTTGTTTTGTGCCTCAAGAAACAGGTGTGGTTAAAGGGTATCATCCAACTGGTGAATCTACTTGACATCAGATATTTCTCAGACCTCCCTGTCGTCTGACCAATCAGAGCAATGTTTTCAGACTGGTGACAGAAAGTCTTTCATAAAAATTCACAATCAGTAAGATCAACACCATGTTTTCCCAACCGATAATTACAGTACAGTAATATTTTTACAATATATCTGAAATGGAAGTCCCCAATTTGAAATTAGTGCAGTTTAGCTGAAGAAAGCTGCTTTTTGATAGAACTCTGTCAACATCTTGTCAGTCATTCCATTTGTCAGTTAATGTTCTCTCATACTGGTATGTCCCTAAATCTGTTCGGTGGTACCTAGCACTAAGATCTGAATGAGATCAAGAAATTACAGGTGTGATAAATCTTGTAACAACCGGTTCTACAAATGGCCACATACCGTCTCTACTGTCAAGTCAGGGTGTCAGTTTGTGGTTTAGCAACAGTTGGTTACTGATGCAGCACACAAACCATGATGGAATGTTTGGTTACAACGAAACTACAACCAGCAGGAGCTAACAAGAGGACAACATTCCACAACAATCACTGATTGTCTTCATCACAATCACATTGTTAAAACAGTGTTCACAGAACGGGTCCAAGAATGGTTAAATAGGTTCCACATTATATACAGAGAACAGCATACACTCACAAGACAACAGAGCTGGCAAGACAAGGACCTAGGCTTCATACAACTCATTACCGTATTTGATGTATTAAGTGACCACCTCGAATAATTCTCCATTTTAATATGACATTAGTTCTGTTTGAAGATCAAATAGTTTTAATAATGAAATGTTACTGGTTACTCTCGTTATCTGATTGTCCGCCCTGTCACATGACACAATAGTTTTTTATCATGAAACTATGTTCCGAAGAAACTGAAGAGGAACATAAATATTAACAAGCATTAAAACTGTTTAAGTACCCCTGGAGCCTAATTCATTAAATACGGTAAATGTTGATCAGGCAGGGACCGACATTATTTTGCTCTGTCTCAAAACTAAAGTAATCAAAATTAAAATAAATAATAGAAATGCAATAAAAAAATTCAGTAACATTATTGTCCAGATCAGGTTTGTTCTCCGTGACCTAGTGTCTGTGGTAAACACTGCCAACATGCCACTAGTGAGTGAGATGGGTTTTGCGCCACTTTTAGCAACATTCAAGCAATATCACGGGGTACACCAGAAATGGGCTTCACATATTGTACCCATGTGGGGAATCGAACTCCAGCCTTCGGCTTGACGAGCGAAACTTTAACCACTAGGCTACCCCACCATCTATCATGTCATGAAATAGTCTTGAAGGTATTATCAGTTTAGACCCATTTCATCTCACCCCACCTCATGTCAACAATATCAACAAAACAATTCATTCTAACACACAGCACATGAATAAACATTTTTGAACACATAATTCTCTTCCTCTATACATACTGTATATCATAACAGCAAGGCCCAAATACTTTACACACAAATAAGGATTCATCTGCATGCTCTGACGAGTATTCTTAACAAGACATTTTACAATTTAGAGCTAAAAATCTTAGCTTGTACACAACATGAAACAATCGTAGGACGAGCCAAGAAATATTCCGATGTGTTTCTTGAAAATGGCAATATGTAACATGCACGCTGAGACATTGTTAGCGAAACTCTTGAACACACATTGTTTTGAGTATATAAAACACTAGCTGCAGCTATAAGAGATTCATATCACTTCAAACAGAATAAAAGAATCCAGCATTCCAAGTGAAATGTTCATGACAATCTGCTGCAGACATGGTATTATTCACATATCACAGTGTGGCCTTTCACAGAAACAGCTGCACACTTAGACCAGAGACTCTTATACTTGCTTAAGACACTTCACACTTAAGACACATACAAAGTTCATACATCCAGCATCAGGGCAAGCACCTGCCCTGGACCTGAGGTCTGTAGTGTAGCAGAGAACTACGCCTATCTTGCTTCGTGTCTGATAAAAATATAATCCATGCAGTTATCTCCCTCTTCCTGACCTAAATCCGTGACGCATTAATATATCTCTTCATTCTGTTATTTTAGCTGCAGATGGCGCCAACAGTCATCATCATGGCATCACTTGTCTGTCAGCTTCTAAAAGGCGACATTGCTAATCTGCAACTAAGACATGTTCTATATTTGGCCCCAAGCTGATTGTCATCACTGGAAGGTGAAAAGATCCCTGTTACCACGGTAACCCCTGCATAGCTGGATGAAGAAACCTAAATTCTAATGGCATCGTATATGGCACTTGTGTTGGAGACCGGGGAGTGCTGAAGAAGCAGTGTAGGTAATATTGCTGTGATAGATACCAGCTGGAGTATAACTCCTCCCACCGGCATTAAAAGTAGGAGTCATGAATCCTTGCTGCTTCTTTCACAATGGAATCTTGGTTGCCATAGAGACGAGTGTAGGGGGATATTTCTCTCCAAGCATTTTCTCTCTGGAACAAAAATTCCATTGCATTAATATTTACGTTTCCGTTCACTGGTCACCTTATTCATATAGGTAGTGTTGGATCTAAGTAGGCATCCAAATTACTATTTGCTTCCAAAGCAGATGCTGCTTTAGATTCTGGAGCTTCTGATTGGCTGAATTACCCTTCAACAGCATTTCTCACAGCCACTAAAGTCATATTTTGTATCCTCACCATAAATAACCAATCACCATGACAACCATGTATTCTGACAACAACTCACCACAGGGATCCTGTCGTCCAGTGTGTCGCTGAGTTCATAGTGGAAGTTCCACACTTCCGCTTCCCTCCAGGCATTGTCGGTGTTGGAGGGGTCATCGATGTAGCCGCGGTACAGGATCTGCGCACTGAAGCCTTTAGCTGCTGCTGCTCATCTGTGCCAGGTTGTACCGTGTCTGAGTTGAGGTGGACATTGCAAACTCAGCAAAGAACTGCAAGATAAGGATGTTTTACTAACACAGAACAGTCAACAACATCACACACCAGGGCCCCGTCACAAAGTTAAAGCCTAAGATCTCATATTTTTTCTCGTAGCAGGATCACTATGTTTACAGTATGGGAATGATGAAAAAAAGTCAGATCAGGCTTATTGAAACGGGAAGTGGTCAAAGCCAGGATACAGTCAGTGAATGACAGTCAACATATTAGGAAGTTCTGTTAAACTCAAACTGATTCCATATGACATTACATGCCCATGTGACAACATTGAACGAGACAATAGATGTATGTGCAAAAACATTTCTTCCTTAGCTGACTACAGATGGTGCAACCCATTCAGACACTTAGATCACAAAAGATTCCCTTGTCACAAGCAAAGCACTATGGATAGAAGGTGAATTCATGTCTGTGCACAGGTGATGAATGTTTAACCAGATACCATGTGAACAAATATGAGGTGCTGACCAGGAACAGGGGGAACATCTGAACATGTCGCAACTCACAGTACTTATCACATCCTTCTCATTAAACCACTGATATTCTTCATATAAGCACCATCCATACAATGGAATGGGTATCTGGCCTTAAATGGCTGGAGTGTGAACATGTCGTAACCTAACAGTACTTACGCTGATCACATCTTCCTCATTGAACCACTGATATTCTTCATATAAGCACCATCCATACAATGGAATGGGTATCTGGCCTTAAATGGCTGGAGTGTGAACATGTCGATCACATCTTCCCTAACAGTACTACGCTTGATCATATTTTCCTCACTGAACCGCTGACATTCTTGAACCGCTGACATTCTTCTGCCTTCTGTGTTGAGAACTCCCTTCATAAACTCCTCGCACATCACACCATAGGAAGTGGTCTTGCCGTACACGTTACCCTGGAAACATGAAGTCACATGACAATAACCAATAGCCAATCACTGCACCACACTACAAGCCTTCTTGTAGGATGATGTATTTGTTCACACAGGTGAGTAAGTCTTTGTTCTACTGTTAGTCTTTGTTCGTCCTCATGGTTTGGTAGACTGTCAGTTTTACCTGAAGTCATGGCGATGCATACTATAGAAATGATACCTAAAAGTATGATCTACTGTCAGTCTTTGTTCACCTGATAAAGTAGCACTGAATGTCATTAAAAATAACAGAAATGTTAAAGTTCTAAATGCCCATCCAAGGCAAGTGTGTGAGTTGTGATACTGACCAATGAAATCATGTGTAGGGTGATGATACATGGACAGTCATTGTTGGAACATGATCCGTAAGATACTACTTTCTGTTTGAATGGTTCTCAAGCAGTGGTTACAATATTTGAAATTGGGCTGACACTGTTTAGAACAGTCCTTCAATAACATCATGGCAGCAGATTCAAGGTGAGAACAGTCAAGACGACTGGTTGAAAAAGGGAGATCAGGTGGTCTGACTCAGTGCCTACTGCTTGTGTGTCCCTGCATCAAAGCCATGTCCTGTTCAGAACACATCTCTACCAATTACAGCCATTATTATATAGCTTGAATATTGCACACTGTAGCATACAACAAACAGCAAACTTTTAATCACAGGTACTTACACCTGGCAGAGTTAGCTCCCCTGTATCCGGCCTGGGGACCACTATAAACTCCAGGACCCGCTTCCCCTCCACGATGATGTGGTCCATAGGGTAGCCTAGTGCCGAGTACTTCCGCTTCCACCGTGTGACGACAGCCGCGATAATGATGGTTGGGACCCCACCTCCACAACTTTCCCCTGTCCTTCCCAAAGGGGTTCTACGGATACCTGTCCTTCCCAGAAGGGGTTCCTGAAGCATGTATCTCCACAATCAGAAATTGTACCATGGGAAACGAACTCTAAAACTCATTTTTGTAACTTAACACATAAAATGAAACACATCTCTGTGAACTCCTCTGTAGTTACTCAGTTTAATCATAATTAAATGTTAATGCTAGTTTAATGCTAATTAAAAACCAGGTTGTGTCAGTCTAAGCTTATGCAAATTTAATGACCAGCCAATGAAATGACTAACAATAAGTCAACATGAGCTAATCAGAAGCAGCTTTTTCAAGCTTTACGGCACTAGTTTCAAACTGGCAACTTCGATTCCAGATAACACTTTGAAAATATCTTCACAAAGTTCTCAACTCTGAACAAAAAGACAAAGTCATCAATATCCCCAGAATGGCAAAATACTCTTCATGAATATGTCTACGAGTTATGATTATGTCAAATGTTTTGGTGTGTATATAGAAAAGTGGAAGGAGAGTATTGAAAGGTTTTTTAAGTTCTGCTCCAGAAAGGAGCACTACCACCAGTTTCAATCTAAGTAAAACTTGTTGGCATGGAAATGCAAAGATATTTTATTCAGAAATCCAAAACTACCAAAAGACACCAGTACACCACCAGACCAATCTATGTGCAAAGTTTGGTGAAGAAATACAGTAGTGAACGGTTTTAGAGTTCTGTCTCGAAAAGAGCACTACCACCAATTTCAGTCTAAGTCAAACTTGTTGACATGGAAATGCCAAAAATATTTAATTCAGAATTCCAAAACTACCAATAGGCACCAGTACACCACCAGACCTATCTATGTGTCAAGTTTGGTGAAGAAACATTGAACGGTTTTAAAATTCTGCTCTGAAAAGACAAATGTGCACGGACGCACAGACGCATGGACACATGGACACACGCGATACGACGCGACAGACGGAGTCAATTTTAATACCCCTGCAAACGCCGCTATGGGGATAAAAATGAACAAAACAGATATTGTGGAACATCTAATTTCTTCCGTTTAAAATATGTCTCCCACTTAAGCAAGTGAGACAATCATTCTGGTGGAATCAGTCGTCCAAACAGTTACTGTTATACAGAATACCTAATGTTAACCTTTATATGATTAGAAAACACAATCTGATTATCACTTCCTGATTCTGGTAAATTATGCTCTCATTTGTTGGACCAAAGTTTGTGAGTCAGTTTAGGTTTATGCTGAACTCAGCAATATTCAGCCAGACAACTCACTGTGGAAGGTCGGTTGTGTCCAACTTATATCTCAGTGGCTGGTTGTCGAACGTGATCCATGACGACTTTTATCCACATCAACACTAACACTGCCAACCTTCTCAATGAACACAGTGTTCCACATGGGACTGAAGTCAGGCAAGGGAGGCAACTTCTCCACTTCCTCAGGACTCATCTTCTGTCGGGACTGTTCCTCATGGCGGAGTCTGGAAATGAAGTTATAATAGGTTGTGAGGTCGTGGATGAAGTTATTGGTTGTCAGGTCGTGGATGAAGTTATTGGTTGTGAGGTCGTGGATGAAGTTATTGGTTGTGAGGTCGTGGATGAAGTTATTGGTTGTGAGGTGACAAAGGCATTATTGCAAAGGAGGTTCAGTTTGCTATTTGGCATTACATCATGGATCTTGGCACCCCTTGGATAAGATGCATAAAATATTTTAGTTTGTTGGTTTGTTGTTTAACGCCACACTCAACAATATTCCAGCTATATGGCAGCGGCCTGTACATATTTAAGTCTGGACCAGACAATCCAGTGATCAACAGCACAAGCATCGATCTATACAATTGGCATACGATGACGCAGCGGTCCACCAAGTCAGTGAGTCTGACCACCCGATCCCATTAGTAGCCTCTTTACGATAAGCATGGGTTACGGAAGACCAATTCAAACCCGAATCTTCACGGGTCAGATATGTTTTAAACACATCCAGTTATAAAATGCAGCGTGGGGTAGCCTAGTGATTAAAGCATTGGCTCATCAACTAAAAAGACCCAGGGTTGAATCCCCACATGGGTACAATGTGTGAAGCCCATTTCTGGTGTTCCCCGCCGTGATGTTGCTGGAATATTGCTAAAAGCGGCATAAAACCAAACACAGTCAGTCAGTCAGTTATATAATGAGTAATGAGTTCATTATCTTTGGTTGGTCATTTTAGTTGTTTTACCCCCTCCCGTCAGCATTTTCACAGCAACATCACAGCAGCCTGTAAATAATTGTGTCTGGACAAACAAATGGTCGATGTTAGGAGCAACATTCCATGCCTGACATGCAACAGACCTCCTCACCAAGTCACACAACTGAATCTCTCGTATACACACTTCAACAGCATCTGTGCTGCCAACATACTTACTCCATGATGTCCGGGTCAACAAAGAGTGCGTACTCTTCGTTGAAGTCCTCCAGGGAGCGGGTCATGTAGGTCGGGTCATACGCTTCGTATACAACCTGCACGGACAACACAGTTCATGGATATCACCTTATATACAAGGGTACAATAAACCAATTGTCATCTGGGGTTCAGAGTCGGAACCAACTGTTCAAGGCATGTGTGAAGCATAACTACTGATAAAGCATGCCTGTTGGAATGGACTATACACTCTTAACACTGAATTTTTGTACAGTATTGCCACAGATAGCAGCAACATTGCTGATGGAGCTTTAAGCAATAATTATGCACTCACTCACTCATCTAAGTAAAAGATGAAGCACACAGGTTGCAATTTCTTGCAGCTGAGTGAGAGAGAATAAGTTGGGTTTAACGTCACTTTAGTGAAACCCATGAGCTGGGGGCTGACAAACCTTGAAACAGGCTGACAAACCTTGAAACAGGCTGACAAACCTTGAAACAGGCTGACAAACCTTGACACAGGCTGACAAACCTTGAAACAGGCTGAAACAGGCTGACAAACCTTGAAACAGGCTGACAAACCTTGAAACAGGCTGACAAACCTTGAAACAGGCTGACAAACCTTGAAACAGGCAAACATGTGTCAGCATAAGGGGAGAAGGTTCCGCATCTGAGAGTACCTCTGGACAATAAGCTGATGTCACACAGGACATTTAAAAGATAAACAAATATTATGAAGGTACAGTCAAATCCCGATGAGTTGAAAGCCGGTGTCTAGAATATTATGCATAACTCGAAGTACCTGTCGGTCCCGACCATTCCCTGTTATAGTTGTCATCATTTGAATACCGGTTACACGAATTCGAGTCATAAATACACACGATGACTCGAGAAGGAAATTTGGTCCCATGAGATTAAAACAACAGTAATCTTGTATACATAAGCCGAAGTCAGTCAATGAGAAGTTGATTGGTGTAACAAACTTATTGTAAGTCTATATGGAACATTGGGAGTATTAATGCTATTAGTGAAGGGACAGACCTTGACTGTTTTATTTCAGTATCTAATAGTTTTCCCATCCCTTGTGTAGTTGTGACTCACCTCCCAGGGAACATATTTATCGAAGACAGGGAAGCGTTGTGTGAGTGTCCCTGGGTAGGGCGACTGGCGGGATGAGACATGCACGAGCTGCTGCACTGGCTTCAGGCCCTGGCTCTTCGGGTCTGTGATAACACAGCAGGTCAGTCAGTTAACAAATATACCTCCCTCTTTATCCATCTCAGCATGTAATTCTGTATCATATTCTGTATCAGGAATACACAGACTATGTATAACACATGTCTAGATTCTGCATTACAAATACCAAGGTTCTGCACTACACATACCCATGTTCTGCATCACACATACCAAGGTTCTGCACTACACATACCCATGTTCTGCATCACACATACCAAGGTTCTGCACTACACATACCCATGTTCTGCATCACACATACAGAGGTTCAGTATAACATATACTAAGGTTCTGCATCACACATACCCAGGTTTTGTATCTCACATACCAAGGTTCTGCAGTATGCATGAAGAGGTTAAGTATCATGCATACCAGGGTTATGTATCATACATGCCCCGTCTCTGCATTATGCAGACCCTAGTTCTGCATTATGTATACCCAGTTTCCACAATATGCATATTAGGTTGTATCACACATACCTATGCATCACGCATTCCGTCTCTTTCATGCACACCATGGTTCTGCATATACCAGGTTCTGTATCATGCATACACAGTCTGCATTATGTACATCCTAATTCTGCATTATGCATACTCATGTTCTGCAATATGCATACCAGGTTCTGTAGCTCACATACCTATGTATCATACATACCTAGTTTCTGCATTATGCATACCCAAGTAATGTATCACATATGTACCAAAATTATGCATTCTACATAGCCATGTTCTGCATCACACATACCCAGGTTCTGTATCATATGCTTCATCTCCTCCAGAAGCAGCCGACACACTGTGACACTCTTCTCCACGTGGACCACACGGTCGTTCATTCTGCGATGGTTGTCCTTTTGAAGCTGCATGTCATCAATCAGACGAGACATGCTAGGACAAACAAACACAGCAGGGTTGAATGCATCAATCCACACAATTGTCCCAACCCCTTTCTATCTACTCTAAAAAGAACTCTACCAGTGAACATCCATATGTGTCCCTTCCAATACCCCCAAATGTTCTTACCCAAACCCTCTCAGTTGACCTGTCTGTTCTCTTTCCCTCACCTGCCCCAACTCTTCTCATCTGCCTCAACCATGTACCTGCCCAACCACTACAACTGCCTTCAGTTGCCTTGCCCCTACACATAACCAAACCCAATTGCTCCTGATTCACCCCTGCAATAGCCCCACCCCAACAACTGTCCCAGTACTGAACCTGACCCAGCCAGTCCCCTGCTCTCACACCCAAACCACTAGTCTCTATTACTGGCCGACCCCTGGAACTGTCCCATTCTTACAAATGACCCATCCAGTCTCCTGCTCTACCACCCAAACCACTAGTCCCTATAACTGGCCGACCCCTGGAACTGTCCCATTCTTACAAATGACCCATCAAATCTCCTGCTCCACCCCCACAACTGCCCCATACCAGACCCTCCCTGCACCTGCCCTACCCCCCTCACCTGTCACTCTGTTCCTTGTTCCTCTGTTTTTCTATCAGATTCTGCTCCTCCTCGTTATTGAAGGTCTGCAGGCAACTCTTCCAGTAGTTGAAGTCCACTGTCCGCCTCACCTTCATGATCTGGACCTTCTTCATGCCGTCCTAGAGGATGAGAACACCCAGTGTAAATGTTGTAACATCTGTCACTTGTTCTCCACACCGGCACTTCCGAATATAGTCTACAGATCATTACTCATGGGGATAACACAAGGCAGGTATGTTTCAGAAGTGACCTTGATAGACTAAGACCTTGATATGGCTGTGGTGTTTAGCGTCATGTCTATCTGTCTTCATGTCTGTCCACATGTCTGTCTACATATCTGTCGACATGTCTATCTGTCTTCATGTCTGTCTGTCTTCATGTCTGTTTACATGTCTGTTTACATGTCTATCTGTTGTCATGTCTGTCCACATGTCTGTCTGTCTTCATGTCTGTTTACATGTCTATCTGTTGTCATGTCTGTCCACATGTCTATCTGTCTTCATGTCTGTCTGTCTTCATGTATGTCTGTCGTCGTGTCTGTCCACATGTCTATCTGTCTTCATGTCTGTCTTCATGTCTGTCTGTCTTCATGTCTGTTTACATGTCTATCTGTTGTCATGTCTGTCCACATGTCTGTCTGACGTCGTGTCTGTCCACATGTCTATCTGTCTTCATGTCTGTCTTCATGTCTGTCCACATGTCTGTCTACATGTCTGCCTGTCTACATGTCTGTCCACATGTCTATCTGTCTACATGTCTGTCCACATGTCTGTGTCAGTGTCTGAGCCGACCAGTCCTGGTTTTCCTCCGTTACAGACAAGATTCAGGCAGGGTAACAACAAGTAACATTTCCCGACAACTTTTCGGCAGATGTTCTATCCACGAGATGGAGGTGATCTGATATCCTGACAACTGATGACTGTACGACACATTACCTTCATGTCCTTCTTGACACACTTGCAGCAAGCTGATATACAGCTGACAACTGATGCACATGTAGCTGATCAGTGTCAGTGGTGGAGGTAGGCCTCGTCAAAGTCCACGATAATGGTGTAGCCCATATCTGACATTGCTGACTAGTGTCACTGGGGTTCAATACAGAAACTACATGTTAGAAGTTCACAAAAATGAAATTTTTAGAGTAAAATTAATATTTTTATACTTATCCTGACTCATGCTTATTTGCTTGTCTTCTTCTTCTGGCGAACCTAGTGGAACACGTATATCTCCCAATTGAAGTTCCCTTCAATAAAAGAAATCACTCATTAGTACTCACCACGAGTTACCTCCCTTTCCCCAAGAGCGGGAACGAGGGCGCCACCCAAGCCCATGTGCTCCACTCTCTCCTTTTTTGTATTGAGCCCAACACTTTATTTTTCTCGAGAAATCCAAAGTGCTAAGTGGGGAGGACGGGAGGGCTTACCTCATGAGTCAGGATAAGTATAAAATATTAATTTTACTCTAAAAATTTCATATTTTTTCTTATCCTGACTCATGCTTATTTGCTTGTAGAATCCTACGGATAGGTGGTGGGATTATATATACTTTGGATTTTACTAATTAGTGATTTGAACTGAGATAATTGTAATAACCCTATGGGAACTTCATGAAGGCACTGAACTGAATTCCTGCTGTATATTAACAGCTGCCTCTTAAGAAGGTTATTACAATTTACTGAATATAATAAAAGTATATAGAACATTAATTAAAGCTAAAGCTATTAATGTGAAGTATAAACTGTAGATAGTTTATAAGTATACTTTTATAAGAACCAAAGTAATAAACACAATATGTATATATATAAGCTATAACATAGTGTGCTTAAGGTATAAAGATAACTTAAGCTGTATAATAGTAACCAACTACTGAGAGTTTGTTAACTAATACATGTTATGAAATGAACATATGACTGAGCTTAAAGATAGAACTTAAGCTGAACATATATATAATAGTAGAACTTCGTAAGAGTTGTAGGTATATGTGTATAATGATATAAAATCATAGTACTGAGCTTAAGATAAAATTTTAACAAGCAAATATATATAGATAGCACGTAGCTATTAGTACTGTTATCAGATAAGTATAAAATCATCAAGATAGACTTATCTTCTCCGTGGAACTGTCAACTGTTGAGCGAGGACCATGGGACCGAAATGGTGGATACCTGAGACGTCCTTGGTGGTGATATCTCTCAGATAATGGTTGGCAAACACCATATCGGATCTCCAAAAACATCCCTCCATAATGGTATTTAATGAACAATTTCCATGTAAAGCTAAAGTAGAAGCTAGTGCTCTAATTTCGTGGGGATTAGCAGCACTTGGAGGGGTCAGTCCAGCTGCCTTGTAGGCTCTTAGTATGACAGTTAGGATCCAGATAGAAATAGTAGTCTTGTGACACTTCTGTCTGTGAAGCGGTAGATATAGGGATAAACAATCTTTTGAATTTCCCTCTACTTTGCTTGGATCTTTGGAGATATATTTTCAGTGCACGTACTGGGCAAAGTGATAAGTCCATCGTATCATGTGGTCCAAGAATGGATGAGAGAGCTGGGACATGGAACAACCTGTCTGGTTGACCTGGTAGTTGATTTTTCGCAATAAAATCCCATCGAAGTCCCAGATGAGCGATGTTATGAATATCATCAAACCGTGTTCTCTCGTAATCCAAAGCGTGAATTTCAGACATCCTGGCTGCAGTGGCTAGCAGCTAGCAGGAATAAGGTTTTGTGGGTCAATGATTCAAATGGCGCAGATAACAATGGCTCGTAAGCCTCACTTGTGAGGTGTTGAAGTACAACATTCAGATCCCAGGCTGGCTTGAAACTTCCGTTTCTGGTCTTCCAATCGAAGGCCGCGTAATAAAGGTGAGTAACTCTGGTGTTTTAGTCAACTTGGCCCGTCCTCATAGTAATGACTGAACTTATGGCTGCAAGATAAGTGGATAGTGTAGATCCTTTCAGATTCTTAGTTTGGCGTAGGAAACACAAGAATTCTGCCACTTGAGGATGTGTAGCAAATCTGGCTGAAAATCCTTTCTTAGCAGCATAATTGACAAAACTGCGCCACTTGTCATCATTACAAGTTCACGAGTAGAGTTACGTAGTGCAAAGCGTGACGCGCCGCGCTCTGGTGGAATAACCTCTCTTATTCAAACATGCTTTGATACAGTCCACCGCGTGAAGTTGGTATGCTTCTGGTGTTTTGTGCACTTGTTTGGTGTCGCGGATGTATCAGTAGATTGGGCGCAGTGGGAGCTGAAGTAGTGGTTTTCCGATTCCTAGTATGAGGTCTGGAAACCACGTTCTCAAGCTGGCCAGTAAAGGCGAGACCAAAATCAGATCGAGGCTCTTCGTTTGACTGATTTTTAGCAAGACTTGTGGGATCAGCGCGGGAGCGGGAAAGCGTCACAGCGTTTAGTCCCTCCACGATATGCTTAGTCGTCCGTTGCCCAAGCTAGTGGATCTGGCACTGGCGATCTGAAAGTTGTCAGTTGATTGTTGAATCGGGTGGCAAATAGGTCTATGAGAGGAGATCCTATTTCCATGATTATCTGATTGAATATCTCTGTGTGGAGCATCCATTCTGTCGTGACGGCTGGTGCGGCGAGAGAGGCGTCTGCTAACACATTTTTTGCTCCTGGAATGTGGCAGGCTTTGATATGAATGTTTAGACTGTCGACTAATTTGAACAGTCTGAAACATCGGGTGAGTAGATTCAGTGATCTTGTTGACCCTTGTTTGTTCACATAAGCGCCACCACTTGAGTTGTCTGTGTGAATCATTAACTGGGCGTTCTGTAACAGGTTGCTCCAGTGACTTATGGCGTTTATGACTGCTTGCATCTCTAGCAGATTTATGTGACATAAGCTCTCTTGAATGCTCCATAGGCCTGACGCTGTCCTGCGGTAAGGTGGGCTCCCCAGCCTATTAGTGGCAGCGTCCCGCGTAGAGGTGTATATCCGATTCGGCTCTACTAAGGAGGCGCCCTACATGAACATTCAATCTCTTGGTCCACCAGAGTAGATGTGGTTTGACATAATCTGGTAGACTGAATGGTAGAGGGTCCTCGAGATGAGCAATGATGAGGACTTGTAATGGGGCGCAATTGAAGCCTGCCTCTGAGTGTCAAGTCTTGAGCTGATGTGAGTAGTCCCAGTAGACTCTGCCACTGTCGTAGTAGTAGCGGAGAGTAGGGCTTGGGGAATCAGTTGTTGTATTTTGATCCATCTGTCCTCGGGACTACCAAAAGCGATTCTGGGCTGTAAGGAATCATTATACCTAGAAACTGCAGATCTTGCGTGGGCTCTAGGTCCGACTTGAGTAGATTTACTAACCAGCCTAACTGTGTTAGTAGCGATTATAAATTCCAGCTGTAGTCTGAGGCGCTGTGGATCTGGATCCACCTGTATACCGTCGTCTAGGTAAAATGCACTCCATGAGCCTTGGCGATGTAGGTATGAGACAATAGGCTTGGTTACTCTTGTGAATACCCAAGGGGCGAAGTGATTCGAAGGGAAGTACTTTCCATTGGTAGTGTATGCCGTCTAGCATAAACCTCAGATATTTCCTTGACCTGGGATGAATCGGAATGTGTAGGTATGCATCCTGCAGATCTATACTTACCATGTAATCTAGTGGGCCGAATTAGCTGGCCGGAGTTGAGGTAAATGTATCATCGCGAAAGCGTTGGTGGTTTGCATAGAAAATCTCTGTTGAAGGTGCTCATGTTGTAAATGAGGTGATACTTCTCTTTGGAATTCTTTTTCGGCACTAGGAAAACTGGGGAGTAGAAGCCTGGTGTGATGTTTTGCTGCTCTCGAGAACTTCTAAAGGCCTGTTTGTTTAGTAGAGACTGAACTGTTTCTCTTAACATCGGTAGTAGTGCCAGCTGAGCGTTGAACCCTGGTGGGTCGACTGTTAGCGGTGGCTTGGCCTTGAGTTGTAGGCGATATCCGTACTGAAGGATGTTGGATACATCACGGATCTTGAAGTATTCCCCAGTTTTCCCAGTGTAGTTGCAGGCGTCCACCCACTTGAGAAGGTTGTACTGGGGCGACTGGGGGTGGAAGACTCCAGTCGTTCGAACCTGACTTTCATCGTTTAAATCCACGGGCACCTCTGGATGATCTGCCTCTAGCTGATCCTCCTCTGAACTTGTTGTATGGGCGTGAAAAGAATTCTTGGGATTATTAGCGGCCGCTAATTTCTTATCGGGGCCCTCTGTAGCCCTGAAAACTTAGACTTACCCGAGTACCTCTGTGCTGATTGTTTAAAGGCGTTGGCTAGCGTATCCATAGATTTAATCATGAGAATTTTTACAAACCTGGAGAGGTTATGAATTCTTTGAAGAAAAGTCCTCCTTGGGGTACATATAAGCATTAAAATGTCCATTTTAAAAGCCTACGACAGTTGTAACAATATTTCAATAAAATATTTTACCAAACAAAAACTTCGTTATGTGTGGTGAGACCACCCTACAGGGCCCCCGTAGAGGGCCCCTACAGCCAAGAGCAGGTAACTCTGGCTGTGTACCTCAAATACCTCACTTTTCATGCTGAGCGTGTCAGACAGAATGAGGGGAGGTGGTGCCCGTACCCCAAGGAGGACTTTTCTTCAAAGAATTCATAACCTCTCCAGGTTTGTAAAATTCTTTTCAGAAGAAGTCCTCCTTGGGGTACATATAAGCATAAGACAGACTCCCAGCGATGTTGAGTGGGAGGTGGTATTCTGTCTGCCTAACATACCCCCTAGTTCAGTCGAAGGCACAGCGAAGCAGCGACAGAGAGAAAGTACACTCACCTAGTCACCTGACGCTGATGTCAATCAGGCGAAGTGATAACAAAGCGGGAAAAGGAGCCTAGCCGATAGGCTATTGGTGGAATTGATAAAAGCGGACATAAGTCCACCCCAACCATCAAAATGGGAGGGAAAGTATGGGCGAGTCAATATATATCCCTCAGCAACCCAAACCAGCGGCGTGGTGCAGGGATGAACACAGTGACTGTAGCAGTGATGTCGCTACATACAGTAAAACCACCACCAATGTGATACCACCACCGATAAAAATTGAGGAATTTATTAACACCTACACCATGAGAGAAAAGCAAAGCGTGATTTCTAAGGCTCATTCGGCTAGAGAATCGCGACACTGCTACTGGTGAGAACTGTCTGGCCAAACCGAGCGGCTCCGTGAGTGTTTGTCCAGCTGATAGTGGCGGATGAGCGTGCTCGATTCGGCTCCAGATAGCGCTGAGCAGATCTCTTCAATGGGCAGTGCAGCGGTATGCTTTTGATGTAAGCCACTGCCCTAATAGAATGAGCCTTTAAACCCTGAGGGATGGTTAATCCTTTGTAAGAGTAACTTTCGAACAAATGGCAGAGACAAGCCACCTAGATATGGTCTGCTTGTTGGCGCGGAAGACCAGCCTTGCCACCGCCATAACAACAGAACAGCTGCTTATCTTTCCTGATAGCAGCCGTTAAGTTGATATAAGCCTTGAGAGTCTTCACGGACATCTAAGGCGTGAAACGCGCCCGAAGAGGTACGGACGATGGAGGCTGAGTGAAAGCTGGCAGTTCGATAGAAGCGCCGTTATATGAAAAGCCTGCGACCTTAGGGCGGTAGGAGTCTGGCAAGCGAATACTGACTCTGTCTTTGTGAAAGACAGTCAGAGCAGGATCGCTGACATCGCATGGATATCACCTACCGCCTGCCAGGCGTTACCGCCACAAGAAGGCAGCCTTCCAACTTAACAGCTGGAGTGAAAGAGGCGACAGATCGTGAAGAGAGGACCCGGACATCAATCAAGAGCGATTGACAAGTCCCGCGGGGACTAATCCGCCCGGACAGTCGGACGGATTCTGTCCACGCCTGCTAAAAGCTGTACGAGAGGGTGCTGCCCCAAGAGAGCACCGTCGGCAGGGATATGGAAGGCAGAGATTGCGTGGAGTAGCCCGGATAGTAGGCAGCGGCTAAACCGGCTTCTAACGAGACTGCAAGAACTCCAGTACTTCAATTACAGTTGAAGAAAGGGATCAAGAATCCCTCTGCCGACACACCAGCCAGCGCATAACAGGCCCATCTATCCTCATACTGAGCGTTTGCCGAATCCCTCCCATGAAGCCAGAATTGTGTCTGCAACTGGTGCAGGAATTCGCTTCAGCGTGGAAGCGATTCGGACAGAAGAGCCAGGCCACCCACTGAATCCTGGGATTGGTGCGGCGCTCCGTTCTGGGATAGTAAGTCGGTCGAAAAAGGGTAATAGTACAGGAGGCTGAGCCAGAAACCTGAGTAGTACGGAAACCAGCTTTGAGCCGACCAAAGGGGTGCAAAGGAGCACAAGAAGTCGAGCTGGTTGGGTGGCAAGCTGCAAGAGGACTTTGGGAATCAGGGGTAGTGGCGGGGCAGCCCACAGAACCCTGTCCGTCCAATCGAGCTGGAAGCGTCTTGGGCGATGGCTCACCGGATCCGGTATCCGAGCAAAACACCGGAATCTGGTTCGTCCCCAGATGCAAACAGATCCACCTGGAGCGACCGAACAACTGGGAGATAGCCCGAATATCCCCGATGGAGCATCCACTTTCGTGTGGGGCCAGGATCTGACGAGAGAGTGCATCTGCTTTCGAGCGTTGTCGCCCTGGGAGATAAACAGGCATTACCGTATGTCGAACTGGTGGCACCAGAGCAGAAACTGCCATGCCTCCTGCAGAAGAGGCGGGGAAACCGTGCCGCCCTGCTTCAGGATGTAGGTCATTGCCGTCTGGTTGTCCATCTCGAGGCGGACCACCGCGGCCTTGAACCTGCTCGAAGTCGTTTGAACACCAACCTGACTGCTCTCAATTCTAGCACATTGATGTGCAGTTGCGCCTCGCTCTGTGACCACAGGCCTGAGACCGACAGAGAGCCCAGCGCCCCACCCTGTGTGGCGTCCGTCTGAATTGAGAGATCTGGCGATGGGATGTCCAAAGGGAGCCTTGGATAAATTCCTGCCAGTGTCCACCACCGTAAATGAGGAATTAGCCACCCTGGGTGTGGAGAATCAACTTCGTAACCCTGGGTGTGGACCCACATTGAGCTAGAGCCTGCTGAATGGGTGCATCCTCAACGCGCTTCGCCAAGCGATGTCCACCGTTGCCGCCATGTTGCCTAACAACTGGAGCCAAGTCGAGCTGAGGCCCTGGGGAACTTCGAGAAATTGTAACACAACTCTCTGGACTTTGGTGGCCAGCGGTCGGAGACAGGGAGACTATCCCTGGCGCTGTCTCGAACCTGCGCTCCCAAGAACACCAGATCCTGGGTGGGAACCAGTTCTGATTTCTTGAGGTTGATAATCCAGCCCAACTTGGTGAGAATACTCATCACAGCAAGTGTCGCCTTCGACTCAAGTGAGTGGCAAGCGCCGCGAAGGAGCCAATCGTCTAGATGCGGGTGACAGCACCTGCCCTGTGACCTGGCTACCTGAGCTGGAATTAGCATGAGTTTGGTGAACACCCTTGGCTGTGGAAATGCGAAGGGAGTACCCGAAACTGATAGCACCTCCGTCGAAGGAAAACCTTAGGTATTTCGAGACTTCGGGAGTGCATAGGGACATGGAAGTGCAGCGTCTTTGAGGTCGATTGGCGTGAGCCAATCTCCCTTCTCCACAGGCGAAATCACCCGAGCGCAGTGTTTCCATCTTGAATGGCGGTACCTCTAACATGTCGTTCAGACCTTTGAGGTTTAGAATAGGTCTGAACCCTCCGTCCTTTTTGGTGACAAGGAAATAAGTTGAGTAAAACCCAACATTTCTTGTCCCACAGGAACCATCTCTATGGCTGCCTTGTCCAGCAGCGACTGGACCTCGACGCGAGCACTTCCGCCTTCTCTAGGGCAGCCCGGCACTGGAGTGCGGATCCCGGAGAAGGGGTGGGTCGCTTCCACTGTGGCAAGTGGCCTTCCCTGAGTGTGGACAGGACCCAGGGATTGGGCGTGACTTTTCCCATTCCGACAGGAAGAGGGAAAGTCGACCACCCACAGGGATATGTGGCAGGAGACATTGAATACGGACTTTGGCAGTACTCTGACTGCTTGGTCTGGTACCAACAAAGGCTCTCGGAGGAATTATAGCTGGGAAGCGGGGCTGACTTCCCCTTCCTCTGAAAAGGCTGGTGGGGGCGCCGTGGCCTTGCCCTTGCCCTGCCTCTGCCCTTACCCCTCAGCGACTGCAAGGGCTGAGCCCATTTAACAGATTCCGCCGCCCGCGGCAGAAGGATATCGCGGAGGAGACAACCCGGGGGCCTTGGCGAGGCGTGTGAGGCTGTTCCAGCAAGGGCTTAGAGTCCTTGAAGGTTGAGACAGCCTCAGCGGCCTCGGACTACTGTAGCTGCCCGGGGAACAGGGTAGAACCCATCGGAATGGCAGCGCCAGCAGAGCCTGTTGCGTGGCAGGCGAATACCTGCGCCCGCGAGGAAAGCCACAGGCGGCGGAGGCCCATCACCGCCCGACATCATTTGGCAAGCCGGCGACCTGATAGAATGTAGCGCCAGATGTGACTGTACCTCCGTTAATTGCTTAGCCAAGGTGGAGGGAGGCGAATCTTCCTCCACCCACCCACATCCAGTAGTTGCCTCTGCAACACGAGATGTGGGCGGAATGGATCGTCACTTTGAGGCATTGAACGCATTGCGGTATTGCTCTTCAAAGGATCGATAAAGCGGATTTAAAGCTGTAGCGTTAGTGAGTGAGCGGCGGAAGCCCGGCGACCTTGCTTGGCTGAAGCCATAGAATTACCCAGCCGAACCCCCAGAGGCGACGGATGCGTAAACACTGTCGTCAACCACTGGGGGATTGTAGAGGCAAGCCTCCCCATGAGGTACCGGCGGTCAAGTTCTGGCAAATCGAACCTGGACCTGGTACCACAGAGGGAGGGTTGATTACTTCAGACAAGACTGAGGGTAATATCACGCGGCCTTGTGTCCCCACCTTGGTGGGAGCAAAAGCCTCCTGGGGCCGAAACTCCTGAGAGGTCGGGTGCGCCAGTACTGACCACTACCTGGGGCAGGACAGAAGCAATGCGGCTCCCGTACCTGCCTCAGGGGCGCACCCGGCCGAAACCAAAGGCGTGCCCAACTCCTCCCGACCCTCATCCTCCTCCATAGCCTCCTCGAATCGATCCTCAATGAGTGAGGTCTCTGTTTCCAGAGAGCTCTGAGGGATCATCGAGGGTCTACAGAGAGGGACAAAGGCTCGAGCAGAGCGGGTTGCCACACACACCCGACCCAAGACTTCGAGACTGAGTCAGCGGTGCCGTGATGAGGAAGAGCCGTGCTGGGATTCCTCAATGGTAGACAAAATGATCCAGACACCCGAATGGCCCGGCCAAGCGGTATAAGCGGTGGGACCAGTGCGAAGTAGCGGCAACTACAGGGACTGCCAAACTACTAACTACTGGACCAGACCCGAGCCAAGGCTCGGGCCGGTAATAGTTACTACAGCGGAGGGTGGCCAGCAGCGAGGGGCGAGGCTTCGGGCGGCGCACCCCGACAGAAACCCCCACACCAGAGCCTAAGCTGAGGTTGGGAGCACTGCCCGCCATAGACCCGACACACACACCCGTACCTGGTGGGACACCAATCTCCTGTCGGAGGCCAGCCATCAGCGTCAGCCGCGAGTGTGGACGAATCCATCTGCTTCTGCAATATATCAGAAAGTAAATCAATTGTTAGCTGGTTAGAAACAGGGACAGGGGGGAAGGTGCCTGTGATGTTGAGGGATGGCAGGTGAAAGAGCGGAGGCCCGCACCCTTCGCCCGTTTAGGAGCATCCCGAAGAGAGGAAGCGAAGCCTTCTTTTTTCTTTGTTTTATCTTTGTCTTTAGGCTCCTGACCCCAAATGTCCCCGCCTGAAGTAAGGGCGTGTAGAACATGTAATCAACGCGTCTGGACTTGATGAGTGCGGGGAGAAAGCCTGACACATAGAACAACCTTGTTCGTCATGGGCTTCCTCCGGCTAAACAAGCGTAAAGCAAACCAGGTGGCGATCCTGAGGCGACAAACTGCGCTACAGGTGACACACCCTTGGGCTGCAAAAACAGAACCAGCTATGATAATAGCAAGGACTGTCACGATATACATAATATAATATGCACACAACAAAACAGAACAAAATACAGCGCCAGGCGATATTTTAACTGCTACAGCAAAGCTATTAATTACTAAGCGTAAAGCCATAATGGCGGCGTAATTAGATACATAGGTGACAAAGAGCAACATGTGTGAAGGCGTGCGTAAGCAGCGTCGCGAAAACACTCAAGCAAAACTTACCTAAAGCCTGAAAAAGAGGAATTTAGGCAAAAGTATAATCTACAAAATGAAATATCAGCCCTTTCACAACCCGACTACAAGGCTTTTCTAAAGCCAGGGAAGGAAAACAAAGCGGAACCCAGCGGTCCGCCATCTTGCCTGCCGCGTGGCTGGAGACAGCGAACTGCGCCCGGATAAAAGTTACAACAAATCATGAATGAAAAAGTCATACAAAGATTCCAGCTAAGCCCCGGCGAAAAAGGAACCATACATACAGGTTGACTCTATCTCACTCATCTCTCTCTTATTAAGTAGCTTCTTGGA